ATCCTTCAATTTCGACACCTCGTACAACAAACAGCCTTAGGTTTCTTTTTACATCTTTCACAAACGCCACCCTTCAAACTCATTCAGAAGAGAGTCGGACATTCTGGACTTTCTTTGAATTCGAATATCAAAGTCACTTTCTTGACCCTACCCCAAATTCTCCCCTCCAAAACTCAAACAGCGCGTTTGTTTGACGGCAGAGCTGTCAAATGAACCTGCGATTGTTGAATTTTTGAGATTTAACGTAAGTTTTCCTGCTACCTTTCCTTCCCATTCTCAATTCATAGCATACAAACTCTGAGTCATACTATCACTTCTTGCGCATTTGTGCGAAGAAAGTTACAACACTGAAGTAGTAGGAAGCTGACGTAAACTTCTTGATAGTCTCCTCTCATCCAATCCTGAGAGGTCAAACCATCCCTAAATGCCCATCTACAACAGTCTATATTCGAATCTTGCACGTCAAGGTTTTGCAAAATCAGTCACTCACGGTTACGCTCAATCAGTCGTCGCCGCAACCCATCCTCAAACTTTAGCAAACCAGAACCGATCTGGTCGAGGATTACAACGTCGAACTAGCAAGCTTGGCCATCTACCTACTTATACCTTTCAAAATGCTTTCCACACAAGCTCCAATTCGACTGGTACGACCGTCGTGCAGGATAGACCAGAAGGTTTAGAAATATTATCGGATGCCTGGAAGGCAAATGAATTAGCGAAGGAGGAGAAGAAAGCTCAATTCCCAAAATGCATCGAATGGAAACCAGCTTCTATTCAGGTAGATGGAGAGGGAAAGAGCAATGTTGTTGCTAGTGATGCGACGAAGGATACCCCTAAGCAGGTCGAGAGATCTTACAGTACTAGTGCGGTAGATGATATCAAGCAAGTTCATTTTGAGGCTGAGGAAGAAGCTGCCTTGGCAAAGATTGATGCGGCGATTGAAAAGGAAATTCAATCGAGAGAGAATCAAGCTGCATTCGAGGCGGAATTGAGTGTTGTTGCAGCACGTGTACCGACACCTCCTATTGCGCCAGTTCAGTCACCTGCTCTCACAGTCGAGACGAGCTTTGAGAAATCGGAACTTTCGCGATCGCCTGCTAGCTCTGCTACATCAGCCACCTCAGCTTCCGATCTTCAATCATTGAGCTATGCCGAACACCTCACCAAACTTGCGGAAGGCGGCAGACATGCTGAAATTCCCGCAGTATTTGAGGCTATGCTTGTCGGTGGTATCAAACCAACGGCAACTGCATACAACGCTCTTCTTGATGCCGCTATTCATCTACCTGCTGATCAGATTCAAATCGTTCCAAAGGCACTTGACGTTTATTCTGATATGCTTAGACGAAAGGTCTCGCCGGATACTGCGACATACAACACACTTATTAAATTGATCGCTTCTCGATCCATTACTGTAACTTCATTGAAACGCACATTGGAAGAGAAACGTGTTAGATTTGGCGGAATGGAAGAACCTGGCAAGTTTATGTTTGCTTCTAATGAACTGGAGTTTGCTATCCTTGCCGAAGATGACAGGTTAGATCTTGCCGTCAGGTTGTTTGATGCATCAATCTCGTACCACACGGATCGTTCATTCCCAGCAGAGACTTATCATCAGCTCATATCTGCCTGTGCTGATGCTGGCCGAGTCCCAGATATGGTACGATTGTATGAACATATGGAGACTAGCAAGGTGGTACCATTGGCTGCTACTTTTCCACACATGATCAAAGGGTTTACCAAATCAGGTGATTTAAGTAGTGCTGTCGAATGTTACAATGAGTACAAAGAGTTGGCCGTGGCAGATGATAGCGGCAAACTTCAACTGTCTGATCGTCAAGACGCACAAATCTACGCCTCTGTTGTTAGAGCTTACGTCACTTCCGATAAAATGGAAGGTGCCATGAAGTTTTACAACAGAATTGTTGAAGGATACGGAGAAAACGTTGAGGCCTTCAGAGATGTACTTATTGATGAAGGTTTTGTCCAGGGTCTTCTTGAGCGCAACATGTTGACTGATGCTCTTAGCTGGGCTGAAGGTCTTCAACCTGCCACCAAGTCTATGGTAATGAGCACAATCTCAATGCATGCTGCCGACAAAGGAGAAAGATCTGTTGCTGTCGCTGCTTTCTCTCACGTCAACCCCGATCCAACTATTGCTAAGCCAACTATGGCATTGTTGGCTTTGAGTGTTCGCAGTGGTGATGTTGCTGCAGCTCAAAGATATTGGGGTATCCTCACTGCCGCGGAAATGCCTGTGTCATCCGCCTTCATTGAACCAACTGCCATGTTCGCTGTGGCTATGATTGGCTCCGGACAGGTTCTCGAGGGTCTCACACAATCCGAACAAATGTTTTCGAGAATTAGAGAATCTGCTATCGATGTAAATTCTCACCTGGCTGATGAGATTGAAGAAGGTGTTGAGTTCATTGCCCGATTCATGAAGTCACATGGTATTGTCGATCCCCGCGACACAGCAGTGGCCGAAGCTATGTATCAACAAAGCTTTCAACCTGCTGTATATGTTGCACCACCTACATTCGAGGATACTTTTGATCCATATGCCGCTTCTACCGATTTCAAAGGCTCAGCTCTTATCGCTGATGAACTTGAGAGAGGTGCTGGTCGTGGTAAAGCATCTAAGCTTAATGATGCCATGGGAAGATTCAGAAATATGCGTCGCGCTGGTCGTCATCCTAGATACATTACTTATGCTAAGCTAATCTCTGCTGCTGCTCGCGAGGAACGAATGCCTTTGGTCAATGATATTCTTGGTATGGCCCGATCTGATGTACCCTTACTTGTTCAATATCCTCTCGTTCGATATGGTTGGGTTTCAATTCTCGACGCTATGGTCGGTGCTTGTCTGACTCTCGGAAACCGCAACCTCGCTGCCCAATACCATCAAGAACTTCTCGACATGGGTGCTGCACCAACAGCGAACACTTTCGGTCTTTACATCACCACTCTAAAGGAATCAACCAAGACTTTTGATGAAGCTTCAGAAGCCGTCAAGATCTTCCACCGTGCTAAGACTGAAGGGGTTGAACCTTCATCCTTCTTGTATAATGCTCTCATTGGTAAACTCGGAAAGGCTCGTCGTATTGATGATTGTCTCTTTTACTTTGCCGAGATGCGCGCTCTTGGTATTCGCCCAACAAGTGTTACTTATGGTACAATCGTCAATGCTCTTTGCCGTGTTAGCGATGAAAAGTTTGCCGAGGAATTGTTCGAAGAAATGGAAGCTATGCCAAACTACAAGGCTAGACCTGCTCCATACAACAGCTTGATGCAATTTTTCCTCACTACCAAGCGTGACAAGACAAAGGTTCTCGCATACTACGAACGAATGAAGTCCAAGGGTATTCAACCAACCAATCACACTTACAAGTTACTTGTCGATACTCATGCTACTCTCGAACCTGTCGATATGTCAGCCGCCGAAGCCATTCTTGATACCATTCGTAGCAATGGCGAGAAACCAGAGGCTGTACACTACTCTTCATTGATCCACGCCAAGGGTTGTGTTATGCATGATATGGAAGGTGCTCGAAAGGTTTTCGATTCCGTCATGACTGACTCCTCTATCCGTCCTCAAGCATGTCTCTACCAAGCCTTGTTTGAATCTATGGTCGCCAACCACAAGGTCGCTGATACCGAATCCGTTCTCGCCGATATGGCTGCTAGAGGTGTTGCAATGACTCCATATATTGCCAATACTCTCATTCATGGTTGGGCTAATGAGCGCAACATTGAAAAGAGTAAGTCGATATTCGCAACTGTCGGGAGAGAAAAGCGAGAGCCAAGTACATACGAAGCAATGACTAGAGCTTATCTTGCCGTTGAGGATAGAGAAAGCGCTAAGGATATTGTTCAGGAAATGCTTAGCAGAGGATACCCAGGAGCTGTTTCTAACAAAATTCTGGAATTGCTTGGTGGTGGTCATGTCGAAACTTCTTAAGTATCACTTGATCGCATTCGCTTAGTTTCGACACTTTAGTCTGTTCTTTGATTCCAGCTCTTCGACTCAAGTCTCTCGGTTGTCTCTATTTCGCACTTCACGATACCTCTTTTCTTTTGTTCAAGTATGTTATGATACCCGTGCAATGGCACATCCAAATGATGATGGTGGATTATGGGTATCAAGGTCTTGGTTCGCAGTTGAGCTTGCATGCTTGTATACACGCATTCTGCTTCAGCTGGCTGGTCAGACTTAGAATCTTCTTTTCCTATGTTCGTCTTATTAGATAATAAAATATCCGAATTCTTTTGAGGTTGTAGAGTTTTTATCGTTATAAGGATTCTACGATGTCGAGATCTGGATAATGGCGTTTTTGAGGGCATGGGGTGGAATTTAGTATGCTGTTTTTTAGCTACTGGTAGCATGGCGTTTTGGGGGCGAGGCGAGGGAATGGAATGGAATATATGGATGCATGGTGTATAGGACACGGATATGCATGCATCAAAAGATAAATCTCAACTCTCTATACAGAAACCAGAAGGTGGATGAGGGAAAGGAAGCGAGCGAGTAGTTATGATGGTGGATTTTTCCTTGGATGAAACCGGGAATCTACTGATCTACCTAGTTGGCTTGGCTTGGCTTGTCGATGATGATGATGATGATGGATATATTACAGACACATATCAGATATATATGTAATAATAAAATCAGAAAGATTATTAACATTTGTTTTTGTCGTTTGTTTGAGTGGGAGTGATGGTGATGGTGATGTGATTTTGATGTGATGTGATATTTAAGTAACATTGAAATTCGATCTCGATTAAATGATGGATATATATGATATGATATATTCTACTCGTACGTTATGTTGTACTATATTACATTATAGCTTCTCAGAATGTTAGATATTCCTTTGGGCGAAAGACATTGTTCCTGAATACACAATACCTCACTAACACTTGACGTCCGGTGCCTAATACCTTGCTGACATGTAATATCTATCATCTAACACCCACTACAAACTATCCAACCAAATCAATTAAAAAATCAGATCCCCCAGCGAAGAACCGGAAGAAGAGAAAAATCCGGACAAATCGATTTCTGGTTCTGGTTCTGTTCCTGTTTCGATATTGGTATCGATGTTGGTATACATTTGAGATTGTGATTGTGATTGAGATTGAGAATCAATTTTTGATGTCTTCGGGGTAGGTGTATAGTTGGAAGGGAGGGGAGGTTGGGTTTGAGGGTGAGATTGTGATTGCGATAGCGAAGAAGAGAAAAAAGACGAAATGTCGAGTTCTTGATAAGGACCTGTGGGATGGGAAGGATAGAGAAGGATGTTGGGATTTGGATGAGGATGAGGATGGGGTGGAGAGATCCATTTATTGCTGTTGGGGTTGGGATCCAAGAGGTTTGGGCACGCTGTGTTGGGGTGCGGAACTGGGATTGAGGAAGTGCGGGGTGCGATGTGCGGAGGCTCGGTTTCGGAATCGAGATCGAATTCGAGGGGTTCGTCCATGGCGATTGTGAATGTGTCGTTTGTGGAGTCGTTTTCGAGATTGGTGGCGAGGTTGTTGGTGGATGAGTAGCGCGTGGGAAGGGGGTTGAGGGGGCTGAGGGTCGGTTGCGAATTGGGGATGATGTGGGAGTGGGAGTGAGAGGTTTGGTAGTCGATTGGATGAGGTGGTGGGATTTTGATTTGAGGAAATGAACTGTCTGGAAATTCAAATTCAGAGTCTAAGTCTGAGTCTAGGGGTTCGTCCATGGCGATGTGGAATGTGTTTGTATATTCTTCATCTATGGGGATGGATTGGGTTGCCGAGAGAAGAGGTGTAGCGTTGTGTTTGGAGCCGGAGAGAAGATTTGTGGAAGAGTTGTGAGCTGATTGAGATTTATATCTCGTGTGTGATGGTGATATGACCCTGTAGACAGGGCTTCCAGTTGACTTGAGAGGTTTGGATGAATTTGATTTCATCTCGGTACTTGCATTATAACCCTGCTGCCTTTCCTCATCGTCGAGAATAATCGATCGTGAGCTAAACTGTGGTAGGCTCGAAGGCTTTGAGCCTTTTTCTATAGATTCAACAAATAAATCATCGTCTGAATCTTCATACAAAGAAACATCAAACGATATCTCTTCTTTCGTTACCGCGAATCGATCTTGAGGTTTTCGTGTTGGTGGAGGCGAAATCGAAATTCGAGGTTTCTTTATTCGTGTCCGGTCTTCAAGAACCATTCTATGTGGTGAAAAAGATCGTCTTCTGTTTTTGAGAATAGACTGTTCGAGTTCAGTCTTAGCATCAGATACCAGAGAAATCTCTGGTTCCATTGCATGCTTGACAACACATGTCAATAATCCCTTACCCTCACCCATCGGTCCATCTCCCCATGGTATTTCATAGCGTTTCCATCTCTTCGGACGCTTTTTGTTTAAATCCTCAACGCACCTGTCCACCCACTCCTTTCCAAGAGATGTGACGGCGTATAATGAAAACCACACATTACATGTTGATCCAGACTCCATATATATGAGATTATACTCGTCAATGTTCGATTCTCCATTCCGGTCAAAGGAAGCTAGAGACCGTGTGAGGATGATTGGGACGATGTAGTCGAGATATTTATTGATCCCCCAATCAAACTTTTCCAACAAAAAGGGTTGTAGTTTCCTCTCATCAATCCTCCCACTCCATACATTCTCCTCCAGTTTTTCCAGTCTCTCAACGGAAGAAATACCAGGTGACTTATAGAGACCTAAAATTCTTTCATCCGGAAAATTCCAAGGAACACTAACTCCTGTATTCGAACCCACAAAATGTTTCCGCAATTTAGTTCTCCAAATCTCAAGATCCTCTGATGTTTTCATCACCTCAAAAAGTTCCTTTGCAAATCCCAATTCAACAGCCTTACTTGCCTTCCATACTCCACAACCATGCAATCCCTTCCCATAGTCCCCTCCCCTCAACAACACAAAAAGTAACCAACCCTCTCTATCAAACCCCGGATGTTTACTTTGAATAATACTCGCTCTATAAAGCACCACCTTATCCAAATCTTTCATCCCACTCCTCTTCACTGTCCACCCTCCATGACCTTTCCCCCTTTCCTTCTTCTCTCCGTTCTCCTCCCCTTCATCACTATAACAAAACCTCATCAAAACCCCACACCCAAACATCAACGCATCACCATCCTCCGTCCAAACGCAATCCACCATCCCTCTCCTCTGCAACACCGCACATTCCGCTTCTGCCTCCCCAGGCGCCTCATGCCACTTCACTCCTAGAAGTCTCAAACAGTCTTGCAAAACTTCGCTTTTATACTTCCACACTCCACATCCTTTGGCGCCATATTTCTCACCAGGCTTGTGAGGACCATCTGCTACGAAAACCAGCTGGATGTTTAGCTTCAAGAGCCGTAGAACGACAGATATAAGATTTCGTTCGTTGAGATGGAGATTGGAATATTCTGAGATTATTCAGTATCAGATTTAGAATCTACAAATATATAAATGAAGTTTAAATCGCAAAAATACCTTGACAAAGTTTCGCTTTGTTACTAATATATAATTTATGTCTCCAAGTTGCCTCATCAACCGCTATTCTCAATGGTCTTTTATATTGCTCGAAATGTTGGGTTGCAAATTCGGCAAGATTAACAATTTCTTTGCAATTGGAGATGAAATCCCAGAGTCTAGTTGATACATGATGTGTTAGTGATGCTTGCATGTGTTGTGACCGGTAAGAAGCAAACAAAAGCTTACCCAGGAATACCCATTTTGGATTTTGGAGAGAGAGAGATGTGCACAGGGAGATGGTGGGGTGGATGAGCTAGCTTAATGAGGCATGTGAGTGGGTTTCGAGGTCGCCGGCCTTTAAAAAGATCAAATTTCAATCAATATCAATGTCAAAACTTGAGTTGGTTTTCACGAGTAAGTAGGATTGGGTTTTCATGAAGGTGTAAGATCGGTTTGAATTATTGAGATAGGGGAAAGACATGGAAATTCCATTTCTTTATTCGAAATCCGTATCCCTCTAATATGTAAATAATATTTCTATCACAAAATATATCAAGCCATTTCAATATTTATGAGACAACTGACGGATAAACTTCAATTCTATATGATTGGTTATTTGATCAAAATATCAATACAGTAGAGCTAAACTTGTCACTAGCAACATTCCTGAGGAGAGTTGTTTTGTCGGCATTGCTTTTTTTTCGAATCGACCATTCAAGGATCTGGATACACGGGAGTGCAATTCGTGACCAAGGATATACGAGTACTCCGCTCATATATTTCTACTATATGATATAATCTGCGAAGGCACTCGTAGTAGTCGATATCACCATTAAATCTTTTGTAAGTATTATACAAGCTATGTGCAGCACATGAATGTCAAATCAAAGGATTATAAGCAAAACCAAAACAGCTCCTAATACTGTTCACTCAAGCAATTTGCGCCACATGATATTAAGGTATAATCATAAAGTCGTAAAGTCGTAAAGTCGTCAAATGGATGAATCAGAAAAAAATCCATCAAAATCGTCGTCCTTAATACCCGGAGGAAGAGGTTTGTTAGCGAGTAGTGAGACTTTGGAGATTCTGTGTGCATTTGACGATGCGCTATGAATGGGCTTTTGAGCTGCTGGTGTAGATGCTGGCTTAGAAATATCCGAGCCGAAATGCCTAAGTCGAGCTTCACGGATGGTATCTAGTTGTGAATTTTGTGATGAGATTGGGGTAAAGATGTGATTGCGAGCACTGGCAGTGGGTGTCTGATTCTCTTCGTCCGAGGAGTCATCGAGTGTGAGGTCGATGGTTGTACCCGAAGACTTGTTTGTATCTCTCAGTTGAGGGTGTTTCAGACTTCTATCCAATTCTGGCAACTTACGTGTTGGATTCTCCTTGGTAGACGAAGAAATACTTCGAGCTTGATGTGAAACTTGAGAGTGTGTGGATGCAGATTCTGTAGAAGCTTTGGCAACTGACCTAGGTTCTGATATCTGCTCTGATGTACTTTTAGCCCTCTTTGGTGGTGGCTGTTGATGCAGCGAAGAAACAGTGTTGGTCGGAGCTATTGGCGACCCAGCACGTTTTTTACCTTTGGAAATTATCTCGGGAGACACCACAATTTCATTGCGCTCAGAGGATGGTGTAGCTGGTGGAAGAGCTTGTTTAGTCCCATGTTCAATAATACACGCCAGCAAGTCCTCACACTTGACCATCTCAGTGACTGGTGCTACTTTCCCGCTCCGACCTTGATTCGTAAACTCATGTCTCCAAGCTTGTACGTCCATGAATGTTACCGCAGATAGTAGCACCTCTACATTCTTCTGTAGGACGGGCGATTTCTTCTTGGTAATGACATTAAGTTTATAGCAGTTGTTACTCGCTTCTTGCCCTGGCTGTGTAGATGCAAGAGAACGGACGAGAAGGATGGGTATGATATACTTGATGTATTCAGCTACCCAAAAATTGAATATCGGAGCGATGAATCTTTGTAACTCCATCTCGTCAAAAGAGGGGTTCCAAAACTTTCCAATATCGCTCATAATTCTCTCGGATGAGACTAAAGGCTTGTTATAAAGCCCAACAATGCGAGTGTCCGGAAAGTTATCTGGTACGTCGATTCGTTTGTTGATGCTTGTGAGATATTCGCGAAGTCTGTTTCTCCAAGTTGGAAATCGCGCGTGAGATGCGCTGCAAAGGTCTTCGCCAAAAGCTTCCTTCGCAGTCGCTATTTGTAACGCTAGAGTAGCGCCACAGTTTGTAAGACTTTTGCCGTCTTTGCTGTAATCACCCCCCTTCAAGACAGCGAATAACACAAGACCATCTCGAGTCAAGCCTGGAAATTGTTTTTGTATTTTATCTGCTCGATAAACAATGATGTTGTCGAGGTCAACTTCTCGCCTTGTCTCATCAGATTCGTTGACCCAATCTTGATTGTTTCCAGGCCTCTTTACTTTGGGTTTCTTAACATGGCAGAAGCGTATTAGAGATGTGCACCCGAACATGAAAGCATCCGAGTCTTCTGTCCAGACGGCATCAACCACCCCACGGCTTTGCAAAGCCGCACACTCAGCCTCGGCTTCACCGGGTGCTTCATGCCATGTTACGCCTAGGGAAGTCACTGTCTTTTTGAGGAGTTTGTCATCCTGTGAAAGATATTTGTACCATGGCGATTGCCCACCATATTTCTCTTTTGGTCGATTACTGCCGTCCGCGACAAAAATCAATTGGATATTCAACTTAAGAAGTTTCAAAATCTTGTAGAAAATGTTCTTCTCGTTTGGGTTCGCAGGTGGGACCTCTGGGGACAGACTAAATATTAGCGGAGGATATCAATGTCTGATTCGGCATGGTGAAGGAAGATATACTTTTACGAATGGCTTCCACTTCCTTTTTATCTAAATAACACTTAAACTTCCAGATAGAAACATCGACTGCAATTCGAAGGGGCCTTCTTTCCCTCTCAAAATGTTGGGCAGCAAACGCAGCAGTTGAGATGTTCTCTCCGATTTCAGCTTTGTCGAAAAGCTGCCAGAGTCTGGAGAAAGAATGTTAGTTAGCTGAGATTAGTGAGCCATAGTAAAACATAGCTTACTCTGGTATACCCATCCTGTATGAGCTTAATCTAGTGACGAAGCCAGGGTAGGCAGTGCAATTTATCAATCAAGACTAATTCATGCAAGGAAACTTGGATTGTAAGGAGAATATTGGGTTCGGGTCGCGTCGCGTATCTACTCATTGGTAATTATTGCAATCACGTCTCAATCAGGCAATCACGTGCGTTTCGCTCGTATTCACTATCTTGGTGAAGAAGCACTATCCATTCGAAAGGCTCAAGCCATTGAAACTTCTCAAAACTACCTTTGTATTCTTTGATCGATTAAGACAACAAAAATCATTTCCCGAATGGTGTTTGCTAGGTAACAGAAGCCACCACCACAACAAATACTTCCCCGACGCACGCCAGAACTAAAACTGCTATGCCGCCAGTGGGTGACTGACGGGACACTCCTCAACTTTCGGAAACTTTAACAAGTTCATTCTTCAATTGCTTGATATCAGAATTCATCTTTTCATTGTTCAATCTCCAATGAATCATTGGAATAATCTCCAAGATATACGAATTGATATATCTAGGTATGAAGAGATATTCCCAAGTCCATTTTTTGCAATGTCCGTACACCCACTGGTGCACCGATCGCAATTGCTCGCCTCAAGAACTGGGATTCGTGTTGCGATAGTTGGTGGTGAAACCTCGTAATGCTTCTCATTCATGCACATATCCAGTTGACGAGTAATTTGAGAGGTCATGAGAGACCTCAGTCGGAGCAGGCTTGGAGCCACAGATATGGACAATACATATGTTCGGTACACCAACACCCGCTCCTGTTGAACAGACGGTGTGTGATACATCTTTAGGACTTCGTCCGGTGGAGTCTCCATAAGATCTTCTGAAAAGATCAACACTACTGGTTTGCTATCGATTAGTCTCAGAAATCATACTCTTAAGCAAATATCTAGCTGCTGTTTCGGCTAAACAACACAATGCATGGCATAACAGAATGCTCACAGTATCTAGTTGCTTCAACTCGAACGACAAAGAAAGAGCTGGCTCTGAAAGATACTGACTGGCTCCAGTGATTTAAAGAAGAACAGCACAGACCAGGATGTTACTTTGTAACAATTTTCTGATTCTAGATTAACTAAGCTTTGCACAAACGAAGGCTGCAATAAAGACATGTATTTCGTGATACTACTTTCTTCTCACGTATTTGAAAACCACATCCTGCGGCCTATTAACCTGCAACGTCAATTTCGGCGAACTATCCTCCAAAATTTCCATCAACCTCCTCCTCGCATCCTCCTCTGTCTCCCCCTCTCTCTTCACAATCTCCACATTCCACTTCCGGAATATTTCATACAGTACGCCGACAAATTCAACTTGTGACATTTTCATACCGGGGCAATAGCGAGGGCCATGGGACCAAGCAAGAAATGTGCCCTTGGGAGGTTCTCGAAAAGTTTCTTTATTTGAAGTGGGAGACGTTTCGATCCAGCGCGAGGGCCGGTAATCTAATGAATCTGCACCCCATATTGAGGGTAAAGTGTGGATTACGGTGGTGTTGAGCAGCACTTCTGTTTCGGGAGAAAAGTTGATGTTTTTGATGGTTTGTGCTTGTGGTGTTCGGCGGGATATAGTAGGGACTAACGTATATAGACGGAGCGTTTCGTACTAATTTCAGGTAAATATGAAGTCAATTCCAAGTGTCTAAAGTATTCGGCTTCAAAATGAGTTTGGGATTTTAATACATACCATTAGTGCTAGAGAGCGAGTAAGAAGAGGAAAGGTGGTAGAGTACTCGGAGTCGGGATACAACTTTTCGACTTCGTCGATCTCGGCGATGATCCAATTTTGCAATTCTGGATAAAGTGCTAGACACATGACAGCATACGAGAGGGTATTTGCCGTGGTATCGAATCCTCCGATGGTCTGTATCTGATTAGAACTGTTCCGGGCGATTCTCAAACGAACTCATTCTGAACTTACCATAGCGAATAAATTTCCAGTAACGTCTTCATTTGATAAATAAGTCGACGTCTTTGAGCGTGAAAGATCCTTACTCTGATCGGCAATTCTCACCAGGGAAGTGAGGAGAGAATTCTGAGAACTCGGAGAACGTCTTTCTTTGGCTATGCTTTGGTTCAGGTGAAGGGGAAACTCGGCTTTGGCAATACCCATTTTCTGTACGGCAGTCGGCATGTACTTTAAAGTTAAGTATTTCGTAGGTATGAACACCGTAGCAAATAGATTGTGTACAATAGTCAATAAACACGATATGAATGTTGTTTCAAATCCTTCTGGGGGTGTTTTCGCGTTCACAGCTTCCCCCCAAGATTGACGGGTGCCAAAGCAAACGAATGTAATCACATTGATAGTGATAGTCCTCAAGCCTTCGAATGTGATGTTGGTTGAGCTTGATTCATCGTTTATAGATGGCTTTGACAATGTAGAAACCATATCTCGAGTTTGTGTTAGAGATTCATTCCAAACTTCTTTCATGATTCGCTCATTCAAAGCAGGCGCTACAATTCTTCGATGTCTTTGCCAATCTTCTCCTTCTGAAGCACTTATATTTGGCCCCCACACATCCATTACCCCTACATCCGAGTTAGCTTTTGTATTTGCTCGATACAGATAAGAGACAGCACCCACGGAGAGCAATTTCATTTTTGGCAAAATCTTTTCTTCTTGTTAAAGCCTCCTCAGCTACTTCAGCGTCTCCGACATAGACTGTGTTTTTCCCAGGTGTAACAAGAATAAATGTATTACCCCATTTTTCATGGACAAAATACTTGCAATAATGTTCCCATGCGGGGATTGTTATCTTAACCCTATCGAAGATGAATTGAGGCAAAACTTTTGATAGACTCGAATAACCGACAGTTGCACAAATGATAAGCCTATAAATGATTATGTTTGAGAAGATGAGGTGACAACAGTAGGGCAGCAATCACTAACCATAATGGATTTGCCGAACCCCATAAGCCAAATTTTATAGGCAAGCCGGAATTTTTCGCAGCACGATAATTACTTGGCAGAGCAGATAGATACCATATTGTGAAAGCTAGAATCAGCAATAGTGAGGTCAAGAGTATACCCATTTTTCGATGTCTATCTTGAAGATTGTTGACGATTGACTTTATCAGATTCTGGGAGGGAGTGCAGTTCATATATATATGTGTCGGTTGCAACCACCACTATGTTCAACATGACCTTACTTGGTTGGCACTTGCTTGCATACATAGATCTGTATCCTAGTATTTGCGGGACCATAAAACCCCAGTAGGACATCGATAACATAAAACAGTTGCGGTAGTCCATCGCTAGGAAGCTTCTGATGGTCCAAGAAGTGACTTCGGTTGCTAACCGATGCAGTTTCTGGAGATTTTAGTGTGTACAGTAGTTTCGTCGATCTCGTTCATTCTCAACGGGTTTTAAATACAGCCATTAAATTCAATGCGAGATGAATGTCACCAGAAAGAATAGTACCAAAAACAATTAGAACATCTGTTGAATTGCCCCAGAAAAAGCAAACAATTGAAGAATTGATTGCGGACGTAATCTTGTTAGGGATAAAACTTACAGGGTCGGTTGGGTAAAGTATGGCTAAATACAAAAGATGTGTTTGAATTGGCCAATCAAATCTCTTCCGGAGATCAGTCCCAAACCCTCGGTATCGACACACCATTTTGAATATCCCAATTCAGATTTGACAATCGATTGACCTTCCTTTTCGCTTGAAATCCGTTTTGATATCGTATCTCAATACATATTTGAAGCAATCCTTTGAAAGTTCAGAGCCCGATAGCATTTTTAATGTCTGTCTTGGTGTGCGGATTGCGTGAGACAGATGTAAACTATCTCTTAGAATTGAATTCTCCCCCTCGTACGTCTTCTGTTCATCTGACAAGTGGAATTCAAACCGTATAAGCACATTCGAATTTGATCATAAAACTATATCAGATCGTGAATTTCTCAGCTCAGAAGACCAGAACCATTCCCTAAGAAAAACCAAGAAAAGGTACCATAATACGTTCGAGGATTTTCGCCTGCAAACATTGGGTTCTGATGCTAGAAGTGATAGCAAGTGCCTTTTCAGCATATAATGTGTATTTATCGTCAATCCGAGTTGGATTATATCGATCAGTCGAGTCTTATAACCCATCTCCAAAGGCACCATTCTTTCACTGGAGTGTCCAACAAACTTCTTGATGAAATCATCCAGTATACCTTTCCAAGAAATTTCAAGGGGCTGGCATCAATCTTCTAGAAGTGTGTACCATGTTATTTCACATTCAGTGCACTCTTTCACAACTTGACTTAGTTACTCCGACAACTTTGGTGACCACGAATTTAGGGATAGCAAATCTGGTGATAAGAGAGCTAATGGTCGAAATGGCACCACCCTTAAAATAGCACGGGATGTGACAACCCGTAGTGCTATTGGACCTTTTGTGGTAAGTCACATTGAAAACGCCAATTTCAGCACATATACTTTTCGACCCCATTACGTATTTCGATTCCAATATGTGATCTCTGATGATACAGAATCTTGCTGTTTGGCTGTGATAACATCGATTGGCGATTCTCCTCGGATCGAGTCAACAGTTCTCAGTTTGAAGGCATTTCGTGCCGAAATCGAGAAAGATGTAAAGGAAGAATAGTATCCATAAGATGTTCCTGCTTCTTTCTTCTTACTCTTCTACCGAACGTAACTAAGCTTAAAATGGTAATCTGTTGAAAAATATGTCACAGCCTATAGGCTTGTTCATAACATTCTAGCCAAGACTACGTAGACTCTTGAGACGAACACTCGTTTGCGGCTTGCCCAAATCAGAGAAACTCAAACATCTATCAAGAGTGATAAGATTGTCTTAGAGAATATTTTAGCGTTCCCGTCTTTGTCGCTTGTCTGCTCTTACCTACAGTTGATGCTGTCCCCAAGTTTTGACTCGAAGACCCATGTCGCGATACTTTGGAATCCCTTGGGACGATCCCTCTCTTTCGTTGTAATATCGATGGTATAGCTCTTGCGAGTTTCCTCCAGCACAATCCTGTTCTCAAGATACATTGATCGCATCTAGACGGAAGGACAAGCTTATGGCAGGGTAATAATGCGCAGCTTTCAGCGACTGCGAACTTTTAAATTGCCACTAAAAATTGTGATGCGTGATGTTAAATTCGCTTCCGAGATAGATCAAACAACGGAATGCTAGGGACCATCCATTGGTGGTCTTGTATCGAATTGTGTTTCCCGGCTGTTATTCCTTTGACAAGGAAATAGCAAGCGTAAAAGAGCATTCGGCTTTTTTCTTCACCACTTCGCCGCCAAGAAGGGTTCACCATCACCCGTTTTTCAAGAAGTTCATCTTTCCTGCCTTTGATATGCAAATGATATATATAAGAGGGAGAATGCGCACAGCTTGCTTAAGAGACGAAACAATTGAAAGCAGTGTTTCAATTGGGACATTGGACTATATTGCATAGACGTTTAGTATGTTCAGTGAAGATGATGATACTTTTGGTCGAGGTACTGCTGAGAGAAAGGGCGTGGGAGAAGGACATGTGACATGAGATCCTAGTGGGCTTTCGGATAAACCTCAAGGAGAATCCCCTGGTTATGTTAATTGAATATGAATTGGATCTCTCCTACGAAAAGTTAACGAGAAATCTGAGGCATTTTTATGAATTAAGGACTTTCGGCGCAGTACGAACGTGATATGCCACACTGTCTAGTGTTTGATCAGAACTATCTACCTTAATCACAACATCTCAAAATAAGCTAGATAATTCGAAACAGAGGGTCGTTCGAGAATTGGGAAGAGGCAGTGAATACTATTATTACTTGTCCATGCAGGGTAGGAAACTCCTGTCAATCTATCCATTCCATATGGCCGAGGCAAGGTACTGTCTGTTCAACCGGGGATGATGCATATACACCAACGTTCGAATCTGATTCTAGATGTACAAGAGGCCATAGCGGGCGCAAAGCCTCTCACATAATAAATCATGATACAAATATTCATTTTGTGACCGTGGGCATCTTAGTTTCTAACCAAGCTTCATCGGCATATGTAATAATATCCTGATGTGAGTTGTGTAGAAATCGATCTCTCAGGCAGGGGAAATATAATTCATCCGAAGTCTTTCGTTTCTCACAACCGCTAGTCAACGTATTTGTCTTCGGCAAAATTCGATATAAAACATAGTCTGTCTGGGCAGTGTAAAATCGAACACGAAGAAGGTCTCAGCCTTATAACACGATACACGGCACTTGGTCAAGAGAGTCATATTCAGATACTTGAAAGACGACATAGCAATCACCTCATGCCCGGGTTTCCGGCGTGTGGCCTCACTCCTATTCCGCGCTTACATAACCCAGTCTTCGTAAGTTCGTATCCGACAAGAATTAACTAGCGGCGGCAGTGCGAGATTCCACTGCATTTACGAGCATCGCCGCACTTGAAATTTTACATTCGAGTTTCTATTATTTTCATAAAATCCACCTGGTGATCGTACTTACCTACTTACACGTTTCCGAACACTTCTCGTTCTTACGCACATAAGAACGGAACTTCCCATTCTTAGTATTTTCCGACCCCTCCAGGACTTCAGACGGGATTTATATTCGTCCGAATGTAAACCCCGTCAGTTGAGGATTACCAACACCATGAGGACACGACAGAAGGAAAATAATCCTACATGTGCCTGCATATCAGATGATTTCTGGGCGCATGGCGATCTCGTGGCATTGCATCGTGGCATGACATGTTCCCCAATATCTGAGCCACGGTCCCCAGATCAAACCATCAAACCATCAAAACGTTGCGAACAGTCCAAACTCGGCGTCAAATTTGACGTTATGGTCTTTGGGGGCGGACGACGAAACGTCCTTACATTCTCCGTTTAAGTGATGATAACAAAAAACAAGTTGTTTATTCGATGGATCTTGATATTGACTCTCCTAGCGTCTCTAGTTTATCTCCGCCAACCAATGAGCATCAGAAACCCCTCCAAGTGCATGCAAGAATGCCTGTTAGAAAACCGGATCTACGTATTACGGACTCGGACTCGGACTCAGCCTTATGCCGATCCGTAATCACGCACGTAAAAAAATTGACGTGAACCCCGATCGAGAAATTTGCTACATTTTTTAACTTTGTTCTCGTGGTAAGTTTCTATTGAGTCTCGAGTCTTGACCGTTTGGATACTTAGGCTACAATGAATCAGATGGAATTGCGCAGGTGGATTGTATTCCTGGTTCCGCCTTGGTAGATGGTACGGTGAGTCAATTGTATTTATATAATATATGTATCAGGGTGCTCCCACCCGACAGATTGTTCACAAAAAGCTTAATCACATGCTTGTTACATTGAAATACACGAAACATACCTGCTACAACTTTTTCCGTCAAGAGTTGAATCATCTTCGTCGCAATGGGAAATACACATTCGCATCATCGTCAACATGAATCGAGACACGATTCAAATTCTCGATTTCCACACAAGCGAACCTCGAGGACAAACTCGGAACATTCAAACAATTCAACATCCACCTCATCTACCTCGTCTCCATCAGTATCACGCTCACACTCCACTCGATCTCCTTCATCGCCGCGAAAGTTCTTGGGTCGTCATTCACTCTCATTAAATGATTCACATAAAATACGAGAACAAACCATGCAAGAGCCGGAAAAAAGACCTCCGATTAGAATTGGATATCCTTATTATGAGGAAGTTACTCTGTTGGCTGAGAAGAAAGAGAAGAAGCATAAGAGGCATAGTTTGAGGGGTAGATGAGATCGTAGTTATCTCACCACTTATTCGGGGCTGGTTATCAAATTCCATCGCTGGATTGATGGAGAAAAGGCGACGGAGAAGAAAACACACAATGAATTCTATGAGAAAGGAGTATTTTGATATTTGGGAGACGGGAGTACAAGGAGATGGATATTCCCAGGACAGAGGATTGAGACATCGGATGTTATATTGATACCCAACTTATTTGTGCATTTTTTCGGCGTTCAATATATCGATAGGGCGTAAGACAGAGAGTCATGGAATATGGCATTCTATTTGTACAAACTTGAAACTTAAAGAAATTCAAACAATCATCTAACCAACTCCACTCTGATCTCCCAAGAATGTAATCCTCCCTTATCATTATGAGTATCTTGAGATTAAAACACCATTGCGCCCCTTCTACGAAACATGTATACATCGCACCGACCCCCAACACCCTATGACCGATGATCCCCAAGCCGTCTCTGTTAAATCTCAAAACATATCCGAAGGGCCAACAGGGACTTGCAGTAACGCTAACAATGCAGCGGCAATCGTAGGACCCAGTGCTGTAACAGCCCTAGGATTAAAAGTGATAGTCCAGACATTATTTATCGTGCATCCAGATGCGATAGGAACGCCATCAAACCTGTCGATTAGAAACGTAAACGCATCACCAGCGCCAGTGATTGCTTCAGTAGCATGCCCTCCAAGCATATCACGAGCATATTTAATATTAGCTCCTTGAGAGCAAAGCTTGCTGACAACGACATCTGTATCATCGACTTTCGAAACCTCATCACCAATCGCTTTATAAAGAAATATTGGCATCTTTGGGGTCCCATAGATACCCATTTGACCGGTGATGGCCAGGACATCCTTTGCAATACTGGTAAACAGGGTTGACAGTCCATTATCAAGATATAAACCTATGTCTTGTCCAAGAAAACTTGCAATGTTGCTACCTAAACATTGAGTTGATGCTTTGTAAAATTTAGAAGCCGTTGATGGGACAAGGTTTTTGAGGAGATATTCTTTCAATTCTGGGTAACCATTGGTGAGACCGATAACTCCAGCGGGAATCAAACCGGTGAAGAGACCTTTGTTAGAGGAGAGCATCACAGATGTAATATTGGGTACAAGGCCACCCAAAGCAGTTCCCTTGAAGTTAAGCTCAGGTGCGTAGGAAGGTTGAAGTTCTGCTGCCCATTCAGAAGCCAGAGATCCGCCAGAATACCCCCACATTTGATACTCGGCTTGAGATGAAATGCTAGTCAGATCCCCAGATGACAGAGCCGCACGAACAGAATCAAGAGTCGCTTGACCAGCTTGTATACCAGAAGTGAAGGCTGATTGAAGACCCTCGTAATCAGGAAGATTGACTATCCACCCTTGATTGAGAGCAGCAATGACCAGCAAGGTCTCAGCCGCACCAGAGCCCCCATTTTTTAAACTTGACCCCAACTGTAATATGTAAGATGGTGCACAATTCGGCCACGCAGCATCTGTCGCCATTTGGTAGGATAATAACCTCGATGAGTTCGCATTTTTTGGCACAATGATTGTTGTGACCGCTGCTGATGCATCCCCCAAGCTATCTGTCGTTCTATAGAGAAGTTGATATGCGGCCTTGACTTGGAATGGCATGACACCTCCAATTGAAAGATCGTCTATTGATCTGCTGCGTAAGATCGTACCCGGTTGAGAGTTTTCAAGTCCTGTTGGTGGGACATAAAAGGGATCATCTGTGGGAGGTATTGGGAGTGCACGTTGTAAAAGTTGATCACTGGTCGGGACTGCAATTGTGGTAGCAACCCAAAGGAAAATGTACCAAATAGCCGCGAAAATGAATCTCATATTTACAAGCGGTACACCAATGACTCAATTTGAAAGAATTAAAAATGAACAGAATTGTGACAACAATTGAAGAGATTGGAAAGCATGGCAAATAGAATACAAAGGTGCATACCGGCAGATTTATATGAGAACTTCATACTCAAGCTCTGCCGTTGGTGATATATATTTAGACACGTGAATACATGTTCTCAGTATCCAGCCTCTGAGCACAATTCAAGGGCACACGAGATATGAGTCTTGTGTAGAATTCGCATTGTGCAGATGGACGGCCATGTTGCCCTTATACTTTGAACCGAGTTGTTTACTACTAGCTGATCGTACTTTGATCGGGTAGAAGACCCTTAACTTTTCGGAGATATTGATCATAGTGTTAGAGATTTGAACATCTGGGACAACCTTTCTTTGAAAATCTGCAAACTCGTTGTTCATTAAAGTTTGCGAGAGGATTGTGATGCGGCAAAGGGAGGTAAATCCGCACTTGAACAGGTAACTGCAGCGGGAATCCAGTCACGTGGAATTAACCTTAAAGAAAGTTAAGCCTTAACGACAGTCATTTGATTGTCACACTACGCTGAAGCGAAATGACCCAAGTTAGCTTTCGGTCTCGAGAAAAGAAGACGATCAACATTGATGCCACCTGAAATATAATTAGATTGTTTCTGGGTCACTTCAACGAGGCCAAGAAAAGCTTATAGGCTGCTCGCTCCCCAATGTCCAAACTCATTTTGAACACGATCAGACGATACCACAATACTTCAACGTCCAAATCAAAAATAAAAGCCAAACTAATTCTACTCCATTATCCAGGTTCGGATTGAACATCAGACTGTCGTTGGCCTGTTCGTAGTGCTCTGGGGTGACTCGATTGCTTCCGCCACGCTGAAGGAATCCTTTTTGAGAGGCTTGAAATGACGCCTCTGCCATCATCAACTGGAAATGTCTTTATATCCGTATCCCTTTTTGGTATCCGGTAACCCGAAACACAACCTTAAAGTATAATCAATACTAGCTAGATTGTGGGGGTTTGTCATTCAACCAATAGGTTCCTTTAAGCTATACTACATCCAACTTGGAGCCGTATTAACCTTGATTTCATTTCCGCCGAGACAATATCTTACAAGCCTTGAAGAAAAAGACCCATTCTATAACGAAGCTTCGAAAGGGATGAGTGGGATGGGATGACATTGATCATGTCAATGTCTTAGGTGTTTTTTGCAATGTCACCCTGCACGGTTCATCTCAGCTGGCCTCTAGAATGATGATCATCACTGTAGCTGGCCAAAGTTATTGGCATGGCTTTCCAAGCAAGCGCTGGTTGTGGATTGAATGCAATTCTACTTCGTACATATAAATTGCATTCCTCACCCACAATGGTAGGAGGTTAACTTTTTGGTCAATTGATTCCCGATTTTCCATCATGCTGTCTATAATCATTCATCTGCTATTCACAATAGCTTCTGCTGCTGTTCTCGCGGACAGACAGACGTTGTCGGGTAGTGATGTTTGCCAGCAAATACGCGGAAACATTACTGGCGAGGTCTACTTCCCCTTGAGTTTGGAGCCTAATTTTAAGAAAGATATTGAGCATTACATGACATCCAGTGTATGTTTCTACCCACTTATTCCTTGCAAATGAACTTTTATCTTGTCTTCTTCTAATTGAAGGGAGTGAGAGAAGAAACGAGGCAGAGGAGTTGCGGATGCTGATGCTGATGATATTTTCCATATAGACACAGATACCAATGTGCGTTGTTGAAGTTGCTAGTGATGCAGATGTTTCTACCGTCATTAAGATCATAGGATCTAAAAGAATTCCCTGGGGGGTCAAATCTGGTGGACATGCGTCGAATCCTGGATTCTCTAGTACTCCTGGAGTCTTCATCTCTCTAGCGAGACTGACTCAGGTTACACTATCTGAGGACCAAAGTACAGTGGAATTAGGTACCGGAAACGTAGGTTACTCTATCAAGGCACTGTCTGCGTCCACAAATATTGACAAATACAATAGCGTTGGACTGATGTTTACACGATTCTCGAAGGAACGGGTGTTAACGTTGTTGGGGGACGTGTCGTTGGTCCTGGTGTCGGTGGCTTCAGTCTTGGAGGAGGTTATTCCTGGTTGACAGATCAATACGGTCTGACTTGCGACACGGTCGTCTCCTACAATCTTGTCCTTCCTAATGGGACGATAACCAAAGTTGATTCTTCGAATCCTGATCTCTTCTTTGCCCTTAAAGGTGGTTTAAATCGATTCGGAATTGTCACAAGTATTGTTCTCAAAACAGTTCCACAACAGAACATGGTATACGGCGGTATTCAGATATATGGAATTGATGCTATTCCTGGTCTTATCAACGCCACGAATAAATTTCAACAAGAGAATACAGATGATAAAGCCCAGGTGATTCTCACCATTAATGGTGGTTTGGTCCCGAATGCCATCCTTATTTCATTCTACGATGGTCCAACTCGACCTGCAGCGTTCGATCCTTTCAACAATGTTGGCGCCATTCCACTGATATCTAATGTCGAACCTCAATCTTTCGCATCATTTGCTAAAGCCACTCCTTCCAATCTCCAAGCCGGATATAGGGGAGCCTTTCATACCATGATGACTACCAGTCTGACAGTCGGTTTTATGCAAGCAGTCTATAATGAATCTAGCTTTTATGGAGCTCTCGCTATCCTTCATAGTGGAACGTTCATCTCTTATGATATTGAGCCTTTTACCGACTACGGCAGATACGCCACCGATTCCGCGTTTCCCCACGCCAGCTCTCCACTGCCATTGAATCTCTATTTTGCTTGGACGTTGCCGATTGAAGATGCATTTTGGAGAGGGATTATGCAACAGAGTATAGACCATCTAACTGAGGTTGCTAAAAGGGAGGGTATTTATTCCGAAGATCAATATGCGTATCCGAACTACGCTTTGAGCACTTATGGCGGTGCTCAGCTTTATGGACCAACGAATGCAGCGCGGTTAAGAGCAATTCAGACAAAGTATGATCCGAATGGAGTCATGCTTCTTGCTGATGGGTTCAATATCTAGGGGTATATGATGATTGTCAATGATAGCGAAGGAAGAACGTAGTAATTTTTATTATATTAATAACATAAAGTTGGTAACATTTAATAATTGATATTGAATCTTTTCGGGATAGTAATGAAAATTGAAAGATTGAGTTCCCGAATTGGCTGAAGTTCTTGAATAACATTCATTTGGATTCATGTTGAACAGTATATAGTAAAGTGATACGCAGGTCCGTTTTGTCGTGCCACTACTAAAATTCAATTCATATATTCAGTGTACGAAAAGAATCCAGATTATGTCGACTGGACACTTTGAAATAGCTATGCAACGGAGTTTCAACACTTTCGAAACCAATGATCAAAAATCTTGAATTTTGATCTGGCATTCAACTTCTCTGTGTTGTCCTTGGTGTATGTATTATGTACGAATTGCATTGATGTGAATAGGTACAGTATATTCGTTTTTTAATCAACAACATATGATATCGAAGAGATAACGAGATGTTTCATCTACTGAAGTCCAATTACATCTGACGATATATCTAAATTCAAAATTCAAAAGATCTTTAATTTACATGAATTTTGGTTGTCTACGACTGTAACCTCTCGTCCCACACGAAAATCAAGCTCCAAACCCACCAACCAATCAAAACAAAGCCCATCGTAATCCTTACCGAACCACCTCAAATTTCAATTCCACTCCGAATCCACCCTAACACTCAATTGTATCCCACACCACCACCACTCTACCTCTCCTCTCCATCGCAACACACCACACAACACAAGCCGACGATGGCATCACTATTCACATCCCGCGCACTCCTGCGCAGTGCCCCTCGCACATTCTCTGCCGCAACTCCCGCCATCCGCGCCCTCTCTACCACACCAGTTCGTCCCGATGCCTCCGCTTCCACCACGGATAGATTCAGCAACATTCCAGATTTCAGCAAATACAGAAGTAAGAAGAGTGGTGGAAGTAATTTGGTTTATCAATACTTTATGGTGGGAGCTATGGGTGCTTTGACAGCCGCGGGGGCAAAGGCTACTGTTCAAGGTTTGTCTTTTTTCCCTTCCTCTGGATATAGGATAGAATTTCAGATCTGCGAATCGGAAGGTTGTCGAATACTGGCAAGGATCTTATGACCGACGAGAGAACTGGAGAATATGATATGAAATGCAATTGAAGGAATTGCACCCACTGGACCCATGGACTGACAATGTACTTTAAACAGATTTCCTTGTCAACATGTCCGCATCCGCAGATGTTTTGGCCATGGCCAAGGTTGAGGTTGATTTGAATGCTATTCCTGAGGGCAAGAACGTACGTTCATTATTAATACACTTACCTCTTCCGACATGATCAAAAACAAATTCCTGACATAAATACACAAAATAGGTCATTATTAAGTGGCGTGGAAAGCCCGTCTTCATCAGACACAGAACTGCCGATGAGATCAAGGAGGCCGAGAACGTCAAAGTCGAGACTTTGAGAGATCCACAATCCGACGCCGACCGTGTCAAGAAGCCAGAATGGTTGGTTATGGTTGGTATGTATTATATTTTCTCCAATTCATGCGGTCTAGTCGATGCAAGATATTAATGAAGAATCAAACAGGTGTCTGCACACATCTTGGATGTGTCCCAATTGGTGAAGCTGGTGATTTCGGAGGATGGTTCTGCCCATGTCACGGTTCCCATTACGATATTTCCGGCCGTATAAGAAAGGGACCTGCTCCATTGAACTTGGAGGTCCCAGAATATGATTTCGCTGAAGAATCTTCTTTGGTCATTGGTTAAATTAGAGGATTGGGTGGAGAGCGATTTTGTAGTTGTATAAAGTTGGAGGAGTGCGGATGGATGGAAGAGTGGAAGATAGATGAAAGAACGTTTTTATTTTGAACGAGAGAGAATGATAGACCTGATCTGGAAGCGTTATGGCTTTGTAGAAGGGGTGGTGGAATGGCCTTTGTACAAAAGATCGGACAAATGATATCGCTTCGAAAAGTTTCAAATTTTGGATTTAACCAGTATGTTTATGGTTATCTTGTATATGGCATGAAAATCTCCAATTGATCTACTCATGAATTTGATATTTAGTAAGGGTGGTCGGGGAGGTCAAAATTCACATCTGAGAGACAGACAAGTTACAGGTAAATGCTTTCTTTTGATTCACATTATCATATCCCGTAATATTACATCTCCTTCATATGTAGGTCATTTCTTCATCTAAAAGCCATCAATCATCAATGTCCATGTCCATCATCCTCTCTCTGTTCCGGATCCAGCTTAATCAATGTATCTATCCTCATGATGGAAATACAAGCTTCAACCGCCGACTTCAATTGTCGAATCTTGCTCATACTTGGCTCCAAAACACCAGCCTTAATCTCATCCACTACTTTGCCCTTCAACAAATCCAATCCGTAGTTCTTATAGTTCTTCTTCTTGGCAATAGTCTTTTCATCTTCGTTAGCATCGCCATCCTTAATACGTTGCGATAAAGCGTGTCGGGAACGGAGCTGAGCAACCAATTCAGATGAGTCTTTAGCGGCGTTGACAGCGAGGGTTTTGGGGATAACGAGGAGAGCTTGAGCAAATTCGCCAATGGCAAGTTGCTCTCTTGAGCCAACGGTACCGGCAAATTCTTCCAAATAGATGTGGAGTGCAGTCTCACATGCACCACCTCCTGGAACGATACTCCCGCTCTCTAAGGTTCGCTTAACAGCGCATAGAGAATCGTGAACGGATCTCTCCATCTCGTCAAGTTGATAATCGTTGGGTCCTCTGAGAATGATGGATGCAGAGGTGTGAACTTTGGTACCCTTAACCAAAATACATTCATCGTCGGAAATTCTCTCCTGAACAACTTCTTCGGCATGTCCTAATGAAGATGCCTCGAACTTCTCATCACCATTCAAATCAGACAATGAGCTGATCAAGGTAGCACCGGTTGCCTTTGCTATTCTTCTCAAGTCCTCCTTCTTACATCTTCGAACAGCCATGGCACCCTTCTCAATGAAGAGTTTCAGGCACATATCGTCAATACCCTTTGTCGTCATAACCACATTTGCTCCAGCCTTGAGGATCATATCGATTCGGTCCATAACAATTCCAGCTTCTCTCTTACGGATTTCTTCTAATTGTGTTGGATCGTCGATTGTAATGTTGACACCGAGCTTCATTCTCTCCTTCTGTAAGTTGATATCTAAAATGGCAATCTTGGCATCCGTAATTCTGGTCTTCATTGCTTGTGATGCAACTGTGCAGTTCAAAGCATAACCCTTGACCAAAATAGACTCCAAAGCTCCTTTACCGTGTGCTTTTAAAATGTTGACAGCCTTGACGGGGTATTTAACTTCCTGTCGGGTATTTGTTGATTTGACTGCTTGCATAGCATCTACAACCATGTTTGCAAAGAAATCGGAATCCGATCCAATAATCTTACTCGACATGGAAGTTTTGGCGATGCTGATCAAAGAGTCCCGGCCCAACTGGTCCACCTTCACACTGATGTTCTCGTGCATGTACTTGACAGCTTCACGGAGTGCTAAACGGTAACCAGTGATGATTGTGGTAGGATGTATACGGTTCTTCATAAGTTCGTTGGCTCTTCGAAGAAGCTCTGCTGCAATAATAACCACAGAAGTTGTTCCATCTCCGACTTCTTTATCTTGTTGCTGTGCCAAGTCGACTAAGATCTTGCCTGCTGGATGTTCGACATCTAATAAACTCAGAATAGTTGCGCCATCGTTTGTGACTGTAACGTCCTGTCTGAAATCAGTATTTGGTGGGGTTCTTTTGGAGTGGACAAGCATACTCCTATATCATCTACCATCATTTTGTCCAAACCACTTGGACCAAATGAACTTTTGACAACATTGGCAATAGCCTGGGTTGCAAGAACTATGGACAGGGTTAATTCATATCTTTTTTCGTGAACATTTTAGCTCATACCATTTTGATCCCGAATATCTTGTCCACTGATCTTTTGGCCGCCGAGGACTACTTGTTATTAGCATTTTTACCAGCAAAATTTCCGAGTGCAAACATACACAAAGTTCCGGCATTTCTAGGTTGTTCAAAAAGGGACCCCATATTGTTGATATTCTTAAAATGGCGGAAACTCTTCTAGTAATATTTCTTCTTCGTCGTCGCGAGAGAAAAGGGACGCGAGAGCTTTCCACGCTAATATTTTTAAGCATTTGGCCTTGAAAATTAAGGCAAGAGCTCAGCCTCGTCGAAATACTTAGTGGGGCTGACCAGGCCAGGGGAAAGTCCACTAATAAATCGCAAGCCTGAATAAATCCTTGTCGCTTAAATTTTAGGGCGGGGGAATAGTTGAAGGTAGTCAATGAATCAGTCACTCGTTCAATAAACAAAAGCAACTCTCTCCTTCAGACTTCTTACCTCCAACAACCAACACAATCATGGCGGACTCCAATACTCCAGAAGTTGCGCAAGAAGGGCCATCTAAAAGTGCCTTGAAGAAAGCTGCCAAGGAAGCAAAAATGGCTGCAGATAAAGCCGCGAAAGCTGCTAAGAATGCTGCGCTTCCTGTTGTGGGGGGTAAGAAAACAGATGATATTATTGGTATTACAGTCAAGAAATCTGAAGACTTCTCACAATGGTATCAAGAGGTTGTTTTAAAGGCGGAGATGATCGAGTATTACAATGAAATCTCCGGGTTCTTTATTTTACGTCCTCAATCTATGTTTATCTGGAACCAAATTCGAAATTGGTTTCAAGCAAAAATCGAGACACTTGATGTAGAGGAGGCTAGTTTCCCCATGTTCTTGTCTTCAAAGTCATTGGAGAAAGAGAAGGATCACGTTGAGGGTTTTGCTCCTGAGCTTGCTTGGGTTACTAAGGCGTAAGTTTCACTATCTTATTCTCCCCTACCCCGCTATACTAACTGTGATAAAGTGGTGATAAAGATCTCGAAGTTCCCGTCGCAGTCCGTCCTACCTCAGAAGCTGTTATGTACCCATACTACTCGAAATGGATCCGAAGTCATCGAGACCTTCCTTTACGATTGAACCAGTGGAACAGTGTCGTTCGTTGGGAAGCCAAACAAACAACTCCATTCTTGAGAGCTAGGGAATTCTTATGGCAGGAAGGACATACCGCACATCTTACAGAAGAACTCGCCGGGGAGGAAGTTCTTCAGATCCTCGAGTTTTATGCTGGTGTTTATGAACAATTATTGGCAGTTCCAGTTGTCCGTGGTCGCAAAACCGAGAAGGAAAAGTTCGCAGGAGGATACTATACTACAACAGTCGAAGGTTATATTCCCTCCAACGGTCGTGGTATTCAAGGTGCTACTTCTCACTGCCTTGGTCAAAACTTTAGTAAGATGTTCGATATTACTGTCGAGGATCCAACTCCAAAGAACGGAGAAAAGGCTGGTCATCTTCACGTCTGGCAAAATTCTTGGGGTCTTTCCACTCGTGTTATCGGTGTTATGGTCATGATTCATGGTGATGACAAAGGACTTGTTCTCCCACCCCGTATCGCAAAACTTCAAGCCATTATCGTCCCAGTCGGTATTACGAATAAAACCACTCCTGAAGAAAAGGCCAAGAGATACGATGAACTACAAAATATTAAGGATACTCTCAAGAAAGCCGGTGTTCGCGCCGATTATGATATCCGTGATGGATATACCCCAGCTTGGAAATTCAACGATTGGGAATTGAAGGGTGTTCCTCTCCGTCTCGAATATGGTCCAAGAGATGCTGCCCAAGAAGTTGTCTCCTACGCCCGTCGTGATACCGGTGAGAAGGGCACAATTGCGATCGCAAACCTCTCAACTGAAGTTCCTGCTCTCCTCGAAACCATTCAAAGCTCTCTTTACACAAAGGCCGAAGCAGCATTCAAAGCTCACAGACTTGTCATCAACAACTGGAGCGAAGTTGTCCCTGCACTTGATGCCAAGAATGTCGTTCTTATTCCATCCTGCTTGGGCGAGAAGTGCGAAGATAAGATTAAGGACTTGACCAAGGGAGGCGCTAGTGAAGAAGTTGGACCCGATGGAAAGAAGGTACCAACAATGGGAATGAAGAGTTTGTGTATTCCATTTGAGCAACCAGAAGGTCTCGTCAAGGGTGAAACCAAATGTTTGAACCCAGAGTGTGGAGTTTTGGCAGAGAAATACTGTATGTACGGAAGAAGTTACTAGATTTTTGCGTAGGGATGGGATTAGGGAGTTTGGAGACAAAGAAAAGATTGAAGGCATGGATGAATCGAAGAAATATGATGGATGAATGATGATCAAGATGAATATCTCAACCTGAGTTCAATGATTAGATAGCGAAAAAGCGCTTATTATAAGTTGTTTTCCTGACTAGGTTTAAAGCGTTTAGCTGTTTCTCAATATAGTGCAAGTAAGGAAGAACGAAATAAAAAATATACAAGCATAATCTCTCACAGCGCATTTCGACTTCCCTAACCGAGTTGCATCTCATTTACATAACACACCTACTCAAAGTGTAGCATAGGAGTTTATTTTGATTGTATCTATAACTCGGGTTTCTTGATCTTGATTGATTGATGATGGAATATTCTCATGTCCGCATCCACATCCACATCCACATCCATATCTCTTTCTGTAGAAATTTAGAAAACACGATTTCTGAATCTCTTTCCCCCTTTCCCCTTTCCCCTCCCCCTCCCCCTCGTCCTCAACTCTCAAGCGAAACCTCCTAATCATCATCTAACATAATCTAAATCCCCACCCACTCTTCTTAAGACTGACTTCTGCCCGAGATTTCAAATACTAAATCCACATCGTGCCATATCTAACACTCACACTCAACACTCACACCCACACAATAAAATGAAGAAAGTGACTTAAAATAAGGGAGTGAATTGAACTGAATTGAATCCATCCATAGGTATCTAGTGTATTGTATTGTATTGGTTTTTTTTATCCCTATGTATCTTAGTTTAATTCGTAACTTTCACCCCTACTTTCTCTCCAGCTCTCATCTTAATTCTCATCGTCAAATTCATACTAGTACTGATGCACCCGCCCCATCACATACTCACATACAGCAGCGCTTTTCATTCGAATCAACCAATCAATCGTCATATATCATGCAATCCATCCATTAATTCATTCATTATCAATGGTTCATTATCGATGCGTTCACTTTCTTTCATGCCATTATTCATCCACCCACCATATTTATCCATTCATCCAAACCAATCACCTTCTACTCCTCTCTACTCCCTCATCCCCCTTACTCTTCTCTTTTGTCCCCGCTCTCATCCACTAAACACGTGCTAAGTCCGTCCCAATAGTCTCCCTAATGTAGGTCCTATATCTAGCATGATTTGGTTTACAGAAAGCCCAGCCCCTTACCAAATATGTGAGTTTCATAGTGTCTATGGCGACAAGAAAATCAATGGCTAAGGTACTTGATCCGCTCAAACAAAATCAGCAGAGTAAGAGAAACCGCGGAACTCTTCTTGCATAGCTTGAGACAAAACTGTAGATATCATTAGTCAAAAGTTTTCCATAAAGATGTAAAGTGAACGTACCAGACTGCACTGGTGTCAAAACAGGTGTGACACTGGTGAATTCGGAATCGAAATTGCTAGTATCGGTAGCATTGGTGATAGAAGGTTGGAAAGGTGGTGCAATTCTCTTGTGGTAAACATCATCCCAATTAATGCTTCTGAAGAATGGTTGACTCATGATCTCTTGTGCGTCAGTAGGCCCACTTCCCAGTCTTTGTTCAGGTTCACGCGTCAATAATTTTTGTAATATCGATACTGAATCACGGGGCATGTGGATTGGGTATAAAGGTTCATCCGCAAGAATGGCATCGTAAATCTCGTCTTCATCCTCTCCCCTGAAGGGTGATTGTTGGAGAAGCATTTGGTAAATGAGAACACCAAATGCCCACCAATCAACTGCCCGACCGTATTTTTTGTCTAGCAAAATCTGATCCATAATTAGCTTTGTCACGAAATCAACCATGGGCAAGACTTACCTCTGGAGCCATGAATTCAGGAGTACCACAGAAAGTGCTCGTAGTCGAACCATACCACATCTCTTCCTTACAGAGACCATAATCGGCAATTTTGATATGCCCATCAAGTGTCAATAGAATATTGTCCAACTTCAAATCACGATAAATAACACCATTTTCGTGGAAGTATTTCAAAGCCAAGCAGACCTCAGCAGCGTAGAATCTATGATTGTCAATGAATGGTTCTCATGGAAAGGATAACAAATGACTTACTGTGCACGCTTAGTTCCGAATTGTCCTCGTTGAATGTGCAACATAAGATCACCACCACTGATGTACTCCATAACGAAATATACTCTGGTTTCTGTTTGGAAACAGGCATGGAGAGTCAACAAGAAAGGATGACGTTCCTTGTTTGCGATCAAGAACACTCTCTTCTCAGACCTGGTACTTTCGACTTCATCATTCTCAATGATGAACTCCTTTTTCAAAACTTTAATAGCATAGAGTTTCTTAGTTTGCTTGGTCTCAGCAAGCATGACCTTACCGAAATTACCCTTACCCAGAACCGCAAGAAAGTTGAAATGATCAAGACCAATACGACGTCCAGTGCCTGGTTCGTTTGCTGCAGGAACTTGCTTTCGTTGTTGCCCTTGAGGTACGACTTGTTGTGAACCAGGTTGTGCAGGTAGTGGAATCTCTGGAGGAGGTCCTTGTGATGGAGGTGCAAACATTGTTGCAGATGGAGGAGGAGGTGGGAGTGGCGAATGTTGTAATTGGGGCATTGGCTGAGAATAACCACTGTCAACATTTGCATATGCGGCAGGGTTATAAGCTGGCTGTGTAGGCATTTGCGCCGAGGGGTTTGCACCATATGGACTGACCTCTGAATGCTTATCGGGTGTTTGTGCATTGCCAGCCGCGCCTCGTTGAGCTCCAACTTGGTGGGTATAATCGGTGGAAGCTCGGGAATATTGGTCTCTTGGAGGTATCGGTTGCCTACCCCCCATTGCAGCAGTTGCTGCTGCAGCGGCAGCTGTAGCACTTGATGATGTGGATGTTCGATCAGGTCCTGCTGGTCGTTGTTGTGGTGAAGTGGCACTTGGTGTATACATTGCCTGTGCGGCTTGAGTAGCTTCGCTAGAGCTGGGCGCCCCATAAGATTTTGCTCTAGGAGGTCGTGTAGATTCAGGCGATCCATAAGAGTTACGATCAGTCGGTGTTCCTTCCGTTTCTGGCTTCTTCTCTCTCAATGTTTTCTCGCTCATGGGAACAGGTGTCGTCAGTCGGCGTTTTTGGCTTCTAATACCATCAAGAATGGCGTTTGCGACCGCCATGGACATACCACAGAAATCTGGAACAAGATGTACACAGTGTGCATGGCATGTAAGGGCACATTCTACTCTTGTTAGTCAAACGGGACTTCGGTTTCGTGTAAAAGTACTTACCAGTGCACTTGCGACAATTCTTCTTTCCGAATGGCAAAACATATCCACAATGACAACACCAGTTTGCGCTCATATTGTTGAACTTCTCGAAACGATGTGGAATACGATGATTGATCTTTTCCTCGTCTGGATCGGTTTCCGCGTTGGATTTGCTGATACATTTCGTAACGACTTGTGAGAAACACTTCGTGTGACAAGTATATTTGCAGTCCTCACACTGCATTCCAGCAGTATATGTAAGGAAGTCTCCACAGAGTGCACATCGCATGATGTTGTAAAATTGTTGCGAGATGAACTTGTGCCCATACATCTCGTGCACTTCTTCCTTTCTTTGACGAATGGCACCTTTTCGACCGAGGGCAAGGTCAAATGGTCTTCGATCTTTAGTTTGTTTCGTGAACGAGATATTGAGATTTACGGCACCGCTAGGTTCAAGGGCAAACCACGCATCGATCGGTTGTGGTGCTACCACTGTATTTCCCGGCCCTCCAAACTCGTTTGCTCCGGCTGGTTGTGCTCCAGTTCCCGCGCTACCTGGCGGCGGTCCAAATTGACTTGTGCCAGTCATTGGAAATTGTGCTGGTGGGGCGCCACCACTAGCCATGCGGTCCGCAGAAACCCACCCGGAGTTATTGATCTCGGCCTCGATTCTCTTCCTTCTCATTTCTTCGACAATGTCAGATATTCTGACCCACAATAAACCAATAGGTAATGCTTGATCGCCAGCTTTGTCGTAAACCGTAAGTTCAATTTCGTTTGCCTTGTCCACATAGATGTTATGAATTTCATTCTCCCATTTATCAGTTCGGGTGTTTTTCGTTCTTGCAACAACGTTATCTTCAACCTTCACGGCGATCGAAGTTTCCGGTCCTCTTGTAAATCTACTGGTTGTTGCATGATCAACATCCTTAACTGCTTGAATGCGGAGAACAAGTTGACCTGTCAAAGGCTTTCGCATATTAGGGGTATTGATACTATCATCTGTTGAAATCTGTTAGCTTGCGAAGTTAGCCAAATGACACGTTTGGGATCCCACCATCTGGAGCATCCGCTGAGCTCTCCATATCTATATGTAAATCTTCGTAACCTTTCAAAGCCTGCTTGAGGATCTGAATCTTTTGATTACTTTCAACTCGGCGAGCAGCAGCATCCGCTTTGCTCTTCCTATCACCCTCCATTTGATATAATTGAACCATCTTCTCGATACCCTTCAAATATTGTTTCTCGACGTTAAGCTTGAACTCCAATTGTGAAAGCATGAGTTGAATGCGGGGTCCTAGATAAGGAGTATCATACTTGATGAGATCTGAATTACAAAGTCAGTATTTGTCCATCAATGGTAGAATGTGTAAAAGTAACTTACCAAGCTTGGTATAATTAGGACGTGATCTAGGCATGCCAGAACCTGGTGCAGGAGGCGCAAAAGGATTTCTCGGTGGCATCATATCACCATGACCACCAATCTGACTGTATTCCTGGTCACCATATCCGGCTTGATCCCCCGTCTCGATGGGATTTCCTCTGGCATCCTTGGGCGGCGGGGTTGGCGGCGGAGCGGCTCTATCATCACGCAGACCGCTACTGGGCGGGCGACCAGCACTACTCCCCGCACTACCCGTTCGACCTTCTGTTCGTAGTTGTAATTCTTTCATGCGCTCCTCTAGGTATGAAATATTTCGACGGCCATCGCGCATTTGGATATCTATCCTAGCTCTAACTTGCTCATTCTGAGTCTGCTGCCTCATTTGATTCGCGGCATTGAGGAGAGCACGTTCGCGCTGGATCTTTTTGTAGACGGAGCTAAGAGCCTCCTCATCGTTGCTATTCATGATTACGGCTTGGTCCTCTGCCGTCCTTCAACACGACTTTGCGTAGATGTGAATAATGAATTCTGGGCGAAGAGTTTCAACGTTTGCCCGATTTTTAATATGGTAAGGTTTGTGATGGTCGAGGTGGAGATGGAGTAGGTGGGGTTTTACTATCCGGGCATGGGCTGGGATTTGTTTGTTGACGCCCGATGTTGCGGTTGGAAAAAAGTAATCTTGGCAAGGCGAAGAAGGGGTGGAAGTAAGTACCGGTATGTAAGAGATAGATAAATATGAAGCTTAGGATCTGAAAGCTCTTCTGTTTTGAATTGGCTTATGCATGAAAAGACCTGTTTTTTCTTATGTCTTTATCTTTATCTTTATGTTTCTTGTGTGTATCAATTCCCCAAGAGTTCTTTTCGGATGGTGTTTCGAGATGTGTATGGTGATCTGATTGGAGAGTTGAATGTATGTACGATGGTAGTATGGTAGCATGTATTTGATAGCACCGGTGTTGATATGAAGGGAGGTTGGAGAGTTGTGGATGGAGATAGAGATGTAGATGGAGGTGTTTGTTGATATCAGTTAACTTTGGTTGGAACTTTAAGTTTTCCCCCAATCAACCCGTTACCTATGTCTTTGATAGGTACCGATTACTCCTAGACTTGTCCGACCTTGCTGTACTTCAGGTAGTATCGATATCAAAGTGAGTGTATTACTTTGCGATTTTGCTCAGCCACCATATGCTAGATTGGCTGATGACGGGTCGGAAGGAAGGATAAAGAGAAGTCACTTTATGCCGAAATGATATCGATGCTTTAATACCGATATAGGTTTCATCCAGATTCCGTGTCTTTTTCGGAGTTTGCTGATCTCTCAAACTTGTTTGGATTTGTTGATTCGTTATGAAGAATCGTTCAATAAATTGAATAAAGGACCGAGAGGACCTCCACAAGTCTCCGTGGCTCTCAATTTTCAAAGAATGCGGCGTGGATTGTCATCACCAGTTACAACAGGTGAACGAACAGATAGAGCTGACTACCGGTATCTGAGTGAATATCAATCATATCAAACCACTTCTACCTATCTATCACCAAGGCCAATTGCTATCTACAACTTCCCACATACAACTGCAATGATAACATGAATCTAAACAACATTGATGCACATTGAATAGTCCGCATAATCTTTACTCATCAATAGCTGATCAATCCTCTCAATCCTCTTAGCAAGATGAATATCATACGATTCTATCCATCCGCAAACAAGAGGGGAAAATTCAACGGGTGATGTCCGTGCCACTGCTCCTATCAATTTAGGGAATTTAGGGAATCTAGGGTAATCATCGTCATTCTAGTTCAGGGGTTTAGCTTTGAAGGAACACGACCGACGGTACATACGAACGGGAGATAGGTAATGAATGTCACTCAATATCTGTATTATTGAATCATTTTTGGCGAACCATATAATGATACATATATATCAGACTCGGATCAAGACGAGGCGATTAACAAGAGCGAGCTTTCGCTCCATACTTCTAGATTGGTATCAATTATCTCTCTATCTTCTATCTATCTCTTACGACTTATATTGTTGCTTCAATAACTTTGCTATCGTTGTCAATTGGATATTGCTCGTTCCCTCGTAAATAGAACCAATCATCGAATCTCTCCACATCTTCTCCGCAATTCCTTCACGAACAAATCCCATTCCTATTATAAAATTTAGCATTGAGTCAGAACCATAAACGTGAGATATTTAACTTACCACCCATCCACTGAACCGCCAGGCCACTCACACGTTGAGCGACTTGCGAAGCAAAAAGCTTAGCCATAGCTGCATCCTGAACAAAGTTCTCACCCGCTTCCTTCTTGCGTGCAGCGTTGTAGACTAGAGCGCGAGCGGCGGCAATTTCTGTATAAGATTGTGCGATTTGGTGTTGCATACCCTGGAAATCTCCAACTAATTGTCCAAATTGCTTTCGGTCATTCCATACGTATCTGTTCAAATTTATTAGCCATTGAGAACCCCTCGAAAAATATATAATCATACTTACTTAGTAGCGTTTTCGAATGCTCCCAAAGCGAGTCCGGTCATTTGTGCGGCGATTCCAATACGACCTTCGTTCAGAAGGGCAATGGCATATTTGTATCCTTGTCCCTCTTCTCCCAAGAGATTTTCTCTGGGTATTTCCACATCATCAAAGTTGAGAACACAAGTGCTGCTAGCCTTGATTCCAAGCTTCTTCTCCTTTTTCGCAATGGAGAACCCCTTCATTCCCTTCTCGACAACGAAAGCGGAGATTCCCTTGTAGCCTTTACTATGATCAAGGTTTGCAAAAACAATGAAGAATTCTGCTTCCATAGAATTGGTGATCCACATCTTGCTTCCAGAAATTGTGTATCCTGAATCTGTCTTGGTAGCTTTTGTGGCAAGCGCGAAAGCATCGGATCCAGATACTGGTTCGGACAAACAGAATGATCCAACAGTATTCGTAGCCAATTTTGGCAACCACTTGTTCTTCAACTCCTTACTTGCATATTTGATGACCGCAGTATTGACCAGAGTATTATGCACATCCACCAACACACTCACACTTGGATCGACTCTTGCCAACTCCTCAATTCCCACGATCGCTGCTGTAAAGTTCATTCCGGCACCGCCATACTCTTCGGGATTTCGACGCCCATAAGTCCTTGTTCAAATAACTGTTCCACAACCGCGGGGTCCATACTCTCAGCCTCATCCATGTCTCGTACTTTTGGCGCGATGATATCGTTCGCAAATTTAGAAACAGATTCCGACATAGCCAGTTCAATTTCAGAAAGATGTGTTATAGGAGTTGGAGGAATCTCGGTTATGTCGACGGGATCTGAACGAAGGCGAGAGGTGGCGGAAAGAGGACGGGCACTGCGCTGATGTTAGACTGATAGGAATGTTAAAAAAAAAAGATGAGAGAAAACATACTGTTGGTATATTCTACTTTGTCTAGTAAGTCTCATTGCAGGTCTTGCAGCAGATGCAGATGTACCAGCTCTTCTCACCACCGGTGCTAAAGCTTTAACAATCGAGGCCATTTTTCTTTCTTCCTTTAATACGTCAACTGAATATTGAAAGATAGCAAAATGTTCTGTGACAGTTTTCGAGAGAACGACAAAAGCTTTTATAAGTCAAAGAGAAATTGCTAAGTATTCCAAAGCAGAGGCAATAACGATTCGTGAAACTTATTAGTCGTCGGTGTTTATGGAAGAAGCAAACAGCTCGGCTTAAGACATCCTCGGTTGTTGGGCCGGTGGGCTTGGCAAGCAATACATTCCCCAGATTCACAAATATTGTATCACCGAAAGCAGCTCTCATCATTTTGATGGTGCGAACACAATTGATAAACTCATGACTCGTTTCGATTATCATCGGAGTTTGTAGAACTCTAGCAATCAAAAATATACCTCAGTTCACATCAATTTTCGGGGTTTTCAGTGCCTTCACGACCAAAGCTATGACCTTTAACCAATTAACACATGCAAAATGCGGGGTGACTAGGTAACTTAAACCACCCCCACTGCACTCTTCCAGCCGTCGACGACCCGACTACCATCCGATATGTATCCGATCCGTATTCGTTTCAATGTAGTTTATTGCACTATTCGGAGACATGAATCTTAAGAATAATCAGCCACCGACGTTCAAGTAAAGTTAATGCATTAAGTCTCGTGTAGTACATAGGCGATGAAGTTGTATTCTCCCTGTTGTAAGCTGTGATAAACTAGCCGAATATTACTGTAACTTTTGGCGGTCCTTCTGATATTTCAATATCAAACAACAATTTCCATCAATAAATTTCAAAATTCCCAATGCAAATCAAAAAGTGAATCTTTCATATTGACGCCATGGTCCCTCCACATACGCCTGTCAGCCATGTCCCAACGTCTTGGTATCAATTAAAACGCCATGGCACCTCCGCTCAGTACCGAAAATCCATGTAGATATGTAATCAAATTCAAAGCGCATTTCATTTCCAAATTCCAAATTTTGTCGTGAAGTCAATCACTATGCTATTATGCCGTATGTTTAATCGTCTTTCTTCTCCACCTTTGGTAATAAGAACCAGCAAAGCATCATAACAACAAAGAGGCCTAAAGCAATAGGATGCAAGACGAAATTGCCAAAAGACTGAGCCAAAACTCCGGTAGTGAAAGGAGCAATGGCACCACCAGAACTACCAAGAGCACTGATGACACTCATTCCACTGACTTGGTATTTGCGAGGGATGATGCGAGTGAAAACGTAGGCGGCACATGGGTAGACGGGCCCAAGAAGGAGACCGACGATAGAAACCGCAACAGCGTCTCCAATGACATTAGGGACACCCCAAACGATTCCTTCGAAAGCAGCTGATAACACCACAACGATAACCACAAACTTCCTTTCACCAATCTTGTGCCCGATAGGAGATAGCAAGAAACGACCGAGTGTGATGCCACCCCAGAAACCAGAAGTAACATATCCAGCATTGTTATTGGCACCTCTGACTTGTTGCAGGAAGTAGACAACCCAGCCGGAGATAGAAACTTCCGCACCTTGATAGGAGAAAATGAAAATAGCACCGATCAAGACAGCTGGTAATTTAGCAGCTTTCAACATTTCCATCAAGTCCCTCTTTGCACTGAACTTTGGTCTGCTTCCTGATTGAGTCAAGTTGAGCAGCGCCATTTCATTTGGATCCTCGTAGTCCCAGAAAGCCCATCCGGCAAATACTAGATTTGCGAGCATCATTCCAAGCGGAATAAAGTAGTAACGACTCCATGAAACGCCAGATGAAACGAGTGTGGTGGCTACCAATGGAGCAATGATACCCCCAAGTCCGTAGGAACCATGCATGAAGCCCAACATTTTAGTACCATTATCGAGGTTAGCTGCGAAAACGTTTGACAACGACAAGTTAATTGCCATGCCAAATCCGATGAACAGGAATGCCAGGACAACGACTGGGAATGGAGGATTGGGAACGATCATCACATAGCCAATAACCATGAGGCCTTCAGCAAACATTATAGATTTGGCTCTTCCAAATCGAGATCTGATAGCATCTATGAAAAAGGCTGCCGAAATATAGCCTATTGCCTGCGTGATAAATATGAGAGATACGAGTCTTTCTTGAATGCCATATGCTCTGGATTTTAATTATTAATTGGTATTATTTCTTGGGGATGAGTTAACACACATGATCATCTTGGGAATCAATGGTCCAGCTGCAGCATCACTCAAACCATTGCCAAAGTTCAACAAGCAGGTCGCAGTCATTCTGTATCTATTCTTGGGAGGGTTGGAGAAGCTTTGAACGATGTATTCCGGTTCGTTATTTGGAGTTTGTGGTCGACTCTCCTCCAGAGCACTTGGGACGTTGAAGTCTGCCAGCCTGGAGTTGTCCATCCCGATCCAGGTTCTGCTCCAGGTGTGGTAGTTCCAGATGCAGATGGTCGATTGACATTTGATCCCCATTGTAAATTATCGAGTTCAATTGCATGAGGTTGTTGGGCTGAGTGATATGTTCTGGTGACCGATTTCTGAGGGGCGGCGATTGGTTCATTGTTCGCTGCCGTATCAGCAGCAACATGTTCATTGTTTGTCGATACGATGTCGAAGATTGAGGAGAAATGAGCAGCCATTATGACTGTGATAGAATTATGTATGCCGAATAAGGGCAATGAGATTATATGAAAGTGATTTGGAATAAGTGATTGTGTATATAATGATGGTTAAGGTGATAGATGGTAGGGAAATCAAGAAAGAAAAGAGGGAGCTCAATGATATATGCAAATAATATGTTTTTGAGCTGATGAGGCAGTTGAATATTTGGAGGTCATACGAAGTACTTACTAATGACGAAAGGTACCTAGTAGTCCCTATAGACTAGAAATGATAATCGCCATACTAATTATGAAATTTGCGGTTTGAAGCAGACTAAAATCACTAGATCAGGACCGGTGGGAAGGCTAAAGGCTTAAAAATAAGGGTTTGGGGAGTTGGGGGAGAGCACTAGCTTCATACCAAGCAGGATCTCCGCCAAATGTGGAGAAATTCAACAGGTTTTTGAAAAATTGGATCCATGATAAGAAAATGACTGTCGTAATTGGATCTCGATACATTCTGGAATGCATCTGGATATATGGGAATACTTCGGACAATGCACTTTATAGACTCATGTAAGCATCTTAAAAGCATTTTGAAAAAGTTTCAACGTATAGGGCTTCGAAAATAAATTAAGCGGAGTTGCCCAATACGACCTTGAGTCGTAGATTAATGTCTTCAAGATCTTTTCTATATCAGGGCGCCAGGGTTTTCGGCTAAGTTTCCCATGGTCAATACGGTCACGGATAATAATAATTCCGAACCCCGCCAGAGAAAAATTATTCCCAAGTACGTTTAAGAAAATTGATAGACATAACACATCAGCTGTTAAATTTCATCATCCTTGGACTTTCCACAAAATTCAATCGTGAGGCCTAGAACTACGCTCTTTCTGTACCTCATTTCTCAAAATCAGTTCAAGTCTCACCACATTTTATTTTATAATGGGTAAACCAAAGCGTAATGTCTTTGCGGCCGCCGAAGAAACCTCTACCCCGCCAGATACATTGACAGAAACACAATCAATTGCTCGTGTTATCAAAGCTGAAGGAAACAGCTTATACTCTTGCACTCTCACCGATAATTCAACCATTCTTGTCGAATTGCCTTCTCGATTCCGCAATACAATTTGGATGAAACGTGGTGGTTATGTATTGATCGACACGAAAGATGCAAATGTGAGAGAGAATAAGATTGGTGGTGAAATTATAAATGTCGTTCGGGATGAACACATTTGGCGAAAGGAAGCTTACTGGTAGGTCTTCATATCGTGCACTATTTGGCTCGACTTTCCTGACACACCATCTCAATAGGCCCAAGGAATTTCCAAAAAGCTCCGCATATATGGAGGATTCGGATGACGAGGAATCGACTGTAGGCAAAATGCCACCATCAGACTCGGACGAAGAGTGATATGACCAAGATGCGATATTGTACAAGATACAGAATGTTCTGGGGCGAGAAGGAATTTGGCTCACGCCTGATTAAGCAGTCTTCTTTTCGACGGCCCCTTGGCCTTTGGGCGCAACAAAATCAAGCCTGGTTCCCCACCATACACCTGCCACGGTGATAAACATAATTCCAACTACCACCAACGAGCTTATGTCAGTACTTGGGTATACATTCCATGCCCATTCCTGCGCCCCCCATAAAGCATATTGAAGGATTGGGTGCATGCCACTACGCCAAAGTAAGAAGGGGGTGGCCCATGCAAGATAGGCAAAGAATTGGTAATGCAAAGATCGCGCGAAGAGCATACCAATTGTGGTAGCAGTCAGGATGGTTGTCATGATATAGTTTGGTGATATCATATGCGAGCAGGCGTGCAGTCTCTGTCCCAGTGGTTCCTCAAATCTCAGCGCACTTCGAATCAAATCCATGATTGGCCTTTCCGCTGGCTTGAGCCACCTAGTCATTGCGAACAAAGCCAGAGTGCTAATATGTCCTGCCAATAGAGTTATAGAAAATTCCTTACTCAGGAACTTTTCTTCTCCCAAAAATCTCCAATTGACTGTCCATTTGAAAAAGAATACCCTTGAAAACTCAAAAGCTCTACTCAAATAACCAATTGCATTGGTCGGGAGGAAGGAAAGTGCAATCACAACTTGCAATTGTGCCATAAGCCATGCTTGTTTAAGAGCTCCTTGCACCCCTTTTGTCAAGAATAACATTATTCCAATAGAGGGTAATGCTAGTAACAATGACATCTTAATTCCCAGACCCCAACTGTATGCCATGCTCCCAATTGTCCATAATCTGCGTTGAAAGAAGTAGATCGCAACCCACAGGAAGAAAACCGCGAAACCATCATTAAATAGTCGAAGGACAAAAATGCTATGCAATCGTTTCGAAAGGACGAGCATTGGAAATATATAATGCGGTGCCTAGATTCCAAATCGAAGATCAGTCCATATTCTCTGACTCCTTTGCCCCAATTCACACCCAATTATCGAAACCTACCTTAGCCCTCTTATAACAAGCCAAAACAACCCCCAAAGTCCCCAAATACAAAACTCCAAATATGCGCTGCGCAACCAGTATATCACGTCCATGATCAGTAATCCACCACAATGCATAGTATATCCATACATGTGCGGCGGGATATACCAATGGGCCGGTTCCACCTTTGATTTGAGTGTAATCGCGCTCGCCGGAATCGTATTGGCTGATCTGTTCCATGTAGGCTTTCCAGTCTATTTCTGTGTCTGGGGAGACGGTTAGCGACGGGGTGCAGGAGGGGGAACGGCCATTGGGCAGAGGAGAAAGAGTAAGAAGGAAAGACATACAGGGAATGAAATAGATTATAGCACTGCATAAGAAAGATTCGAAGAGGAGGATGAGCGCGGGTACATAGCGTGAGAGCCAGTGTTCGCCCATTGCTAATTGTTTGAGCTGGAGGTAGACATTGGCGGTTAGGGGAATGGTAGCCTTATCCTCCTTTTTCGAAGCTGGAGGGGCGGGAGCCATCATTACAAAAGTATAGATGTGTACCGCGAAAGGTTAGATCGAGGGCTCACAAAGAACTGAAAGAAATGGTAAATACAAGAAGAGAAAAGGGTAGGAATTAGAAGATTGGATGAGAGGATACGATGAGTGTGAGAAATTCGCGCGCAGTGTTACGTAGCTCTAGAAAATTAAGCTTTCGGTAGTGTTGCGTGGATGCTGGGAATGATTACAGGGGTATTTGGTAGAGTAAACTCACTAGAGATGAATGATGAGTTCCCCTTTATATCCCTCAAGGTGGTACTCGCGCATTCACTCGTTGCAGTCAGATATGTATATTGATATCGATATTCATCATTCATGATATCAAGTGATGGGATGACTAGGTATTTTCCAATATCAGAAACAGACATGCGATAGTTTCAATGTCTTTGATTTATCAGTTTCTAGTTTGACTCTTGAACAGCCCCTCTATTTAGATGTACCAAATACACATAGCAGTCGAAGGTTGGACTCGTCAGACTGGGCTCATGTAATCTCTTGTTTTGTTATTTAGTTTAAGCTTTCCTCCCCTTCTGCTTTAATAGACCTTTCTATCTCAAGTAATCCAACGTCCGCATCCGAGATGAAACGTGGCAATTGGTGGCAATACAGTGAAGGTGCTGGGCCATCAAAACTTTTGATCTGATATGAAGTTTTAGATGGATCAGAGACTACAGCACATTATCCAGAGCTCAATGTCATGTTTCAGGACTATACAACGACAGTAGCCTATGGTCAGAGGGTGCTCCTAGTCAATGTTATATCAAGTGATATTGTGCACCTTTCTAGTTATCTATATGTATGATGATGGTGAAGGCCAAACTGGAAAGAGCGCTGACGGGCCAGTAACGGGTGGCTAGGTGCTATTTGCTACTTCAGACAAGAGCGATAGAAATCGAGACAAGCGCATGTGTTTTTAATAATAAAGCTGTCGGTAGATACTCATCCAACTACCGTCGCATATGTGTGTCTACACCCTGCATTCGGTCCAACTCAGGTTGGAAAGTCAACCTACATCCTACTGCAAGCAGACACAAAATTTTCTATCGTGCTGAATACATTCTACCTTTGAGTTTCTTTCAGACGAGATGAGGATCTTCGTGTGACTACCAATCGATGCTTCTTCTCATTTTGCTCATGTTCATCTTACAATACTAGACTTCGTGTCGGTTAGGTCGCACCACATCTCTGAACATCAGATATCATTCATACATTCAGATTTCATCATCTTTTTGCTCGCCATCTACCACTTCGATTGCTAAGCCACAATGATATATTCAGACCTACCCGTCCCATCTCTTGCGATTCGACATTCACGGCAACTGCATTGTAGTTCCAAATCTAAAACCATATTGTCTTTTTGTTCCCATTCATAATCTTCTGAAAATCTCAGGTTCAACTCATGTACCTTTCCCATCTTATCATCCGTATATTTCACTTTGTTTTTACACGCAATTCAGACCAGATCTTTCAGCGTTCTCGTCTTACATGGCACCTTCATGCTTCCCAATTGCTTGATCCAGTGTTAAACATTCCTCAATCATAGTATACTGAAATCAGAACACCACCCTAAAAGTTCTCAATCGACTGTTGATCAACACTGAGTCATACTTAACAATTCACTTACGACCCCGCTTACAGCCTGGAATAATTGGGCAAATTTGGCTGGCTTAACGTTTTTTAGTCCCCTTCTTCCTCACCCCAATCTTCTACACTACCTTCTCACAAGAAACTGGAAGACGTATGATGAACGAGAACTTTCATGCAATTCACTTCTGTTTCGTTATTCCCTCCTTCCCATTATGGTCCGATCGTAGAGAGAAAATCTGCCTATTTCAGCACAGTCTACTTCATCTTCTTCACCTCATTCTTCTATACTTGCGTCTTTCAGAAGCGGAAAACCTTATAACAATCATTGTTCAAGTTCATAAATTCACTTCAACCTCCTCTTTCCTTTCCCTGTGGTTTGAAAATATTGAGATAATTTGAGTAGCTGAGCTTAGTCTACTTCATCTTCTCAGCCTTTTACAATTCCTACTGTCTAACAACAACCTCCACAACTACACCTCTACACCTCTACACCTCTACACCTCTACATATCTTTTTTTATCAATTCAGTTACAAAACAATAATCTACTGGTACAATATCTACATCAACTTCATTCCTCTCGTGAGAAAGCTACTTTCCACTTCTATCTTTACAAAGTAACGTCACGACAATTTACTTATCTTTTGGATCTCGAAAGTGAGAAGGGTGGTTCTTTGCGGCTTCGTCATGACTCTATAGCATGCGCAAGACAACATAACTTTATTCATACCTTTACATAGTGAGTACATTTCACTTGGAAATCTATTGTAAACATTACCTTCACGTTCTTCTTTGCCAAAGCCAGAGCTTGCAAGCTTTGTTTATCATGTTTTTTTGATTGTTGGCCCAGGTTCCTGAATATCTGCCTTTGGCCCTTGGCATGAGATCTCACCTTTGCTACAACACACCATTTCAGCCCCCCTCTTCCATTTTAAACAGAACAGACGCTGATATTCTTTCCAAAGGCACAAATCACTATTCTATATCCACCTACTCTAAATCAATCTTCTTACTGAAGACGTACGACACTCCTCAACTCTCTTCATCCAGGTCGATCCGGCATCTTATTTTACAACAGAACAGTATCTTCCCTTGGCACTTTAATTTTCCTCACTTCAAGTCTCCAGCTCCTTAGCATCAAGTTCAACTTTGGTCATCATCGGCAAATCTCGCTGGCATTACATATCCCCGCTTTCATTTCAACCTTTGATTTTTTAATTCTAGATTCACTCGATTCGCTGTTCTGCTTTTTGCAATTTGCAATATTAACAATCTGCCTCTTCCTCTGAGAAATCTGGCTATCTCGTGCAATGCTTTGAAGAGCAACTCGAGCGATCATTTCAAAAGCATTAAGTCGATACTATGTCTTTCAATGAGGAAGAAAATTATGAGAACTACCTAGGCGGAGGGTATGGTGATGAATATATTGAAGCCGACAGAGGTCAGCATTTTGATAATGAGAATTCTTTAACACCTTATCAAGTTCAGCGACCGGCAAACTATGCTACTCCGCCCCGGCCTCAACGCCGGATGCCTATGCAACTTCCTACAATCCACACGCGTGATTTAGAGGTTCATCAAGAGCCTTCACAAGGGCCTGCACCTCGTGTTCCATCAACTCCTGCAGTTACCCAGGAACCCTCAAGCCCAGAGATTAGCAGCAGCCCAGATCAAGGAAATATGCTTTCAAGTCCAGATGCTAGCAGCAACACAAATGAAGAAAATGTCCCTTCAACTCCTCAAGAGCAAAGAAGTCCCTCGGCCGTTTTACAAAGCCCATCCATGTCAAATAACAGCGTGCAAGATGTTCCGAGTCCAACAGTTGATTCTGATGTCGAGGACAGCTCACCAACAGGTAGCCAGCATGCAGATGCAACAAGCGCTGACTTGATGCCAAGTATCGAGTCACCAGACGTCGAAAATAAGGAAGATTCCCAGGCCACTCTTGATCATGGCAGAAGTCAAGTGGTTGCAAACGATTTGTACGATGCGAGTCCTCAAAGATCTATTCGCGCACCCCCACAAAAGTCCAACGGGAATCCCAAATCTATATTTGGTACGCCACATAATTCCAATATTCAATCTACTGGAACTTCCAGTCATCTTCAGACCCCAAAAGAACAACGTCAGCAAAAACAAGCAGAAGTAGTTGCAATTGAATCCGACTCTGACGATGATTGCGTTATTATAATGAGTAGGCCAGCACGCCCTGGAAAGCCAAGGATAAAGAATCCACCTCTTGTTATAAAGAATGAGCCAGTCTCTGATTCGGCGACGAATATTAGCACACCAAAGATAGCAAGTGTGAGCCCTGATAAGAGCGTGGCGCCTGATGATTTTGATAGAGAATCAAGCCCTACTGAAGAAGAAATGATCGCAGCTCAAGCATCAATTCTTCGCCCAACTATACGTCGAACTCATTCTGGAGATGAAGACTCTCCCGGACCGGTTAATAGTGGTAGGAAGAGACGCAGAGAGAGCATGGCGTATCCCGAGGATCAGGCAGATATTGATAATGCTATGCAAGTCGATGAAGATGACAATAATTGGATGCATGACCAAGAAGATGAAGGCGACGATTCACAAGAGGAATATGAGAACCTTGTGAAGTTACGAAATGCTTTGAACAAGGAGCTAGATAAAGGAACTCTCGGGTTTACTGAAAGGGCTGAGCTCATTAGGGTCAAACACACTCTTGCAAAGCTGGATCGCCTGAAGACTGCTAAAGTCAGAGGTGCTGAGGATGAGGAAGAAGACGACGAATCGTTGTTCGTCCCTGAAGATAGACATCGAAGATTTCAAAATGTGGCTGATAATGGTGAAGGCCCATCTTCAAGACCTGGCGACAGATTTGAAGATATTTTTGATGAGGATGCAGGTCTTGCTAGTATGCTCCAGGAAGAGTTTGACGATGGCCCTTCCAAAAAGCAAAAGCCCAAGAGAAAACGACAAGCCCCAGCCAAGAATGCTCGAGAATTTCAGGCCAGGGAACAAGCAAAAATTCTTGAGAAAGAAAAAGCAAAGTTGCAAAAGCAAAAGGCCGGTGGAAGTGGTGGTAAAGGCGGGAAGACCAAAGCTGGACGAAAAGGCAAAGGCAGGGGCAAAGAAAAAGAGAAGAGATCCAAAAAGGGGGCTGTTAAAGTCGATAGAAACATGAAAGACGCTCGGTTCATGGAAAAACGCGGAGGACAAGATGATATTGGACAATTGATTTTGGATGATCTCATGAATTGCGATGCGATCGGAGATCGTCTCCAAGACCCCATCTTCAATTGCGCTCCCGAACCCGAACTTGGCGGAACCCGAAATAAAGCCACCCAACTTCAACAATTGTTCGCCAATATTCCTGAAGGTAGCAGTAAGACTAAGGGAAAATCTGACAAAGCAAAACTTTTGCAAGCTTCTCGAAGTTTTGGTTATGCACAAGTCAAAGCTGTTGATGGAAAATGGCTTGTTAAGGGAATGAAATCGACCTTGTACCATCATCAGTTGCTCGGTGCGCAGTGGATGGTGTCTAGAGAATTGAGCTCTGAACCACCTCATGGTGGTCTACTTGCCGATTCAATGGGTCTTGGCAAGACTGTGCAAACCCTGGCTTGCATGGTTGGCAATCCACCCACTGAAGAAGATAAAAAGCGCGGAGTAACGGCAACGTTAATCGTCGTTCCATCTTCAGTCATCTCTCAATGGAAAGAAGAAATCTACAACCATGTCCACGAAAAGGTATTCCCAAAGGTGATGCAGTACAAGGCATCAATGAATATCTCCGAAGCTGTTCTCAAAGATATAGACATAGTCGTTACTTCTTACACAGAAGTTATGAAGCAATTCCCCTTCCCCGACCGGAAGGGCCGAGAAGATATTGCCAGGCATGGATATAAAAAATGGTGGAAAAACGCTCATGATCAACTTGGTGTTCTTCATAAGATCAACTGGCGCAGAGTCGTTCTTGACGAAGCTCACGCAATCAAAAATAACTCTGCCAGAACAAGTTTGGCTTGCCAAAATCTGAAGAGCGTTTATCGGTGGTGTTTGACTGGTACCCCCCTTTTGAATAGGCTCGAAGAGTAAGTGGAATCTGCCCAAAATTCTTACATTTGATTGTCAAAATTCTATTTGAACAATGGGAGGGCTGGTTTGGCCACTGGTCGCCAGGGGCCACCCCATTGTTCAAACCAAATTCAAACAATCAGAAGCTGACAATTAACCTAGGCTTTTCCCGTACCTTCGATTTCTCAAAGCTAATTATGCAATGGATTGGAGGACTTTCCAACAATATTTTTGTGACCCTGATGCTGACGATTGTAATAATCGTATTACAACCCTTCTAAGCTATGCTATGATGCGCCGTACTATGAAGACTACGATCCTCAATCGACCAATCATCACTCTCCCTAAGCCCCACCCTGTTATGCAACAGCTCAATTTCTCTCGAGAAGAAAGGATTATTTATCGAATTGTAAGTGTTTCATGTGGTTTGGGACATTCAAAAACTGACTTTGCTACTATAGACCGAGAACCGCTTTCGGGCAAACCTTAATGTGTTTCTGGCCAACGGCACTGCTCAACGAGCCTATGGAGTCTTCTTCGTTCAATTGCTTCGTCTTAGACAATGTACTTCTCACCCTTTTATGCTTGAACGCACAATGAGAGAGTCCTGGACTACCGAAGACGTTGAGCGGCTTCGCAAGGAGCTTGGCAAATTTAAGGACTCGAACGTAGCGTTCTACGAGCAATGCAAACTTTGGGTTACTGAAAGTGAAGAAGAGAGAGCGGAAGCTATAGCTAGAGGTGAAAAAGGAGCCGAAGCTATCCCTTTCGGACTTTCCAAATTTGGCGAAAGCTTCAAATTTGATAGTGCTTTGGATTCGCTCAATGAGGAAGAGCTTTATACTCGGATTACCTGTCATCTTTGCTCAGATGTTCCAAATGAGCCTGTTATTACTGATGTATGTTGAAAAGTTCAGGGGAGTTTGTACCAATGCTAACATTCTTCAAGTGCTCACACATCTTCTGTCAGAGTTGTTTGACCAATCATCTACACACGCAGATGCACTTGTCCGATGGCGATGACACGGTAAGCACCATTATAACCAACCTTCTCAAGAATCATAATAACAAGTAATAGTTCAACGTTTGTCCCAAGTGTGACATCATCTTCACCAATGCATTACCCTATAAAGACCTCGAAATTCCTGATGATGACGGCATGGACTCTGGCCACAACCAAGCTCAAGAATCAGAAAGCTCATCTAGGGCAGCCAAGCGCCGTAAAACCAACAACGACAATTCTCGTCGTACACATGGAATTAAAAGCAAAGGTTTGGATGCGCTTGATTTTGAACCCTTTACTAAAGACAATACCTGGGTTACTAGATCAGATTATGACCCCAAATTCCCCCTCATTCCAAGTGCCAAGACTACGGCGTTGAAAGCTTTGCTTTTGAAAGGTTTTGAAGAGGCTCCTGATGATAAGGTATGTTGACCCAAATAATCTCCTTTTCCGACTTTTAAATTTCCAATCAAAACCTAAACAATCAATTCACTTGCCAGGTAGTTATCTATGTCCAATTCCGCACGCTAGCCCGTATCATCGGCCGCATGTGCAGAGCTGAAGGCTGGGGATTTTTATACCTCACCGGTGACGCCTCACTCGAGCATCGAAGCAAAGCCGTCAAAGAATTTCGCAACCGCGACGACATTCAAATCCTGATCGCCGGCCTCAAATGCGGTGGTCTCGGACTTAATTTCCCATTCGCTAATCGCTGCATCTCGCTTGATCTCTGGTGGAATCACGCCGTCGAACAACAAGCCTTCGGACGCATCTTTCGCATTGGCCAAAATAAAGAAACCTGGATGACGCGACTCGTTGTGGCTAATTCGGTCGATATGCGGTTGCTGGGGATGCAGAATTGGAAATTGAAAGCGTGTGAGAAGGCAATTGATAATAATGGATTGAGTGGTGCGAGTGGGAGTGCGGGAGGAACGTTGAATTTGTCGCAGTTGGCGAGGTTGTTTGGATTTTTGAAAACGGATGAGGATAATAATTTGTTGAGGATTGAACCAGATTATGAGGATGGCGAGGATGCCATGGATGGGGGATGTGCGTAGGGGAAAGGGCTCGGAGAGGTGGCTGGGGTGAGCTTGGGAGGTTGTGGAGTGGAGATGGAGATGGAGATAGATTGGGGCGCGAATTAATATTCTTTGAAGTTTCTGGAGGCTGGGAGGTTGGGAAACTGGGAGTTGATTGAGAGGTTACTATTTTCCTTCTTGCTAAAGGCGTTCATGGCGTGCAAGCTGGGGGAAGTTATTATTATTATTGAGTGGTTTTTAGAAGCTTCAAGCGGGTGGGCGGTTTATAGATTGGCGAAAACTCAGGGGGGGGGGGGGATTTCTCTGAGAGGTTTATTCTTCTACATACGTAGAAACGTACATACATATCATTCGAAGTTCAAATATTCGATATTCAATATTATAATAAAACCTTTAAGTTACATACCTAGCTGAATCAAATTTTCAAATCATCAGTTTTATCTCAAACATTCGATATTTAATCACCCATTTCGGTTTGGACATTTAGGGGTTCTTGTTTGGGTTTTAATTAGAGATTAGGAATCGAGGGGAGAGAAGCTATACGGAAAAGCTGAGGGTGAGGATGAGAGTGAGGGAAGGTGAAGTATTAGGAGGAAGGAAGATTTCACATATTGCATCTTATCCTTCTAAATATCTCTTCTCTTGTCTTGGTATCATTTGAAATATGGAGATGAGGGGTATTTATCTATTTAGCATCTTTATCTCTAGCTCTTTACTTTACTTTACTTTAGTTGAGTTTATTTTAGTTTATTTTGGTTTGATTATCTTCCCTTTTTCTCTTTCATACCTACCTGTCTATCGACCTGTCTATCTACCTAGACACCAGACTAACGAATACTCTCAACCACAACCACAATCTCTCCCACAAATTCAGAAATCCACCATCACTTTCGAATTTGAAAAGAAACGTTACACACTCTCCTATATACACATACACATATACATACACATGCACATACACTACACACCACCACACTACATTTTCGAGAACTCAGCGAGAGGGAGGCAAAGGGAATAGGGATAGAGGAGGTTGTCGAGAGAGTTAATTTCCAGTTTCCAGTTGTCAATACACAGATATGGAAATTTATGATTTCGAAAAGTATCATTGTAAATGGGAGGAATTTAATCTACAAGATAGATTTCTAATCATGGTTTGGATTTTGGATTTTGAATTTCTTTACTTGTTTACTTGTATTCTCTGTGTGTGAGATTCCCTTCTCCGTACCTAGTCTATCTATCTATATGCATGTCTGTCTGTCTACTCGCCTATTTGCTTGCTATATCATTCGAAATGTGTCGAATGTATAGTAGGTACAATTAATTGAAAAAACGCCGGAATGTCAAATATAGCATGTGATATCCTATGCACGACTCTATTTCCATCTAATCTCATCTATCCCTCAACTTCCCCCCCCCTCACAACCACAACCACGCCACAACCGCCCCCAAAATACCCACCCCCCATCCACCCATCTGCATCATTCTCCCCGCGGCACTCTTCTCCGGCACATTCCCCGTGGCCTTACCCCCCAAATACCAACTCCCAATATCCGTCAGCTGCCCATCCTGATCCAGCATCGTCGCATTATATCCCACATTACTGACGCTGGATCGGAAGGATCCGAAATACGAGTAGCGATCTACGTATGAGAGACGATCGAAGTATTCTGCAGAGGTGTTGAAGAAATCTTGGGTGGTGGGGAGAGGTTGGTCGTTGAGTGCGTATTCGGTGAGCCAGATGGATGTGTTAGGGTAGCTTTGGGAGGGGGGTGTTAGTATGTGTGTTTGAATTTGGGCTTGCGTATGGTGGGTAGAGATGTGATAGGATGAAACCGAGAAAATATGAAATTGAGAAGGCCAAGATGGAAAGTGAGTGAGACCAGAGGGGCCAACAAAAAAAGAAAGGAAAAAACTCACGTCCCACGTATCTCCCCAAGAAAACTCGCCAACCCCTCAAAATTCCCATACCAATGCAACGGGATGAAATCCACCGTGCAATTCGTTCCTGCATCCGCACAGGCGCTGAAGAAACTACTCAACCAAGTAATTCCCCTCGGAGAACCCGTTACGGCAGGCGCTCCCGTTTTAATGCCCAATGCGCGCAGCGGCTCAACTTGGCTGATCCAATTTGCAGCGGCGACCGAGGGGGAGATTGCCGATCCGCCTGTTGAGGAAGTACCGTCAGGTTCGTTGTAGGTAAGAACGTGAGTGACATTGCGGCCGGTTGCTACGAGCGATTTCATGTCGGTGAGAAAAGTAGTCGAGGTGCCCCAGAGCATAGGGACGAATTCAAAATCTTCTTGCGTGGTATTAGAGTAGGCGGGTGAGGCGGCAATGCCATAGTTGTAGTACCATGAGAGATCGGAACCAGGCTGTACCCAGACTTGGTTATCGTTGGGATATTTGGAATTGGGGACGAAGACGAGACCTCGTTTGGATGATGAACCGACGTCGGCGGCATAGACGCTGGTTACATAGCTTGTGGTTGCTAGGAGGAGAGTCGTGCTGATATACATGGTGATGGTTGTGTGGTTATCGGTTGATTTGATCCGGTATGATTGAGTATATATTTTTAACCGTCGTTCAATTGACCGTTCTTCAAATCAAAGTATTAAATGTAAATATTAAAATAATTGAGATAAAAAGAATAAAGTATATTCCTGAATGATAACAATAAAATCTACAAACCAAAGAAAACCAAGATATCTTCACGATGCACCTTCTTGCTAGGTTCAAAACAAGGCACAGATAGATACCAAGTTTATCGAATGAATGTAGATATGAAGAAGATATCGATAACAAATCTATTCGTCTTTGCAACAACACAAATGAATATGAACAGAGAAGAGAAAAGAGAAAAGAAGAGCAAGAGATAAAAAGACAGAAGAGAGAAAGAAATACCTACAGGACATCTATACCTTGAGGTAGTATTTACTATCTCCAGCTGAAAAGCGAGCTATCTACTAGATAGCTTCCCACTTTTCTCTTCATCCGAAGCTACCTTACCTTCCTTACCTTGGTATTTTTTCCTCTCTTTACGTCGTACCGTTCGCATATATTGATTCGAAAGCATCCAGGAACCTTTGAATGGTTGGATGAAAAGAAATGGAGAGATACTGAGTTAAGAAAATGATAAGTGCACGGTCCTGCCTCGGTTCTCATTGATTTTTGTTAGTGACAGCGCTAAGATACTTTAGATCTATTTTCAGTCTCTTGAATTTTTGACATGCTTGCTTGGAGACGGGAGAGCGACATTGGATTTAATTGGATTTTGTATGGTTTGTGTATGTATATATAGGTGGGGATTTATATTATCTATATGCTAGGTATTTTATATGGAATGGAGGAGTACGTTATATGATAAGAAGTTTCTGGCTCTCAAAATAGTGTATATATCATATACTACATACATATATATACACACATACTATATATACACATACTATATACATACATACATATATATACACACATACTATATACATACATATATACACACACATAAAATATACATACATACTATATACATACCTACATTGTATCCCTCATCCCTCAGCTCATAAGCTGACCTCTTCAAGACCCAATATTCCGACACTCGGGAAATACATTCGTTACATCCAAGTACAGAGTGAACACCAAGCAGAAACAGAACACCGATATATCCCATCTCCCAAGAACCAAGAACCTTGACTCACAGAACCAAAGCACCACACCACACCACACCAAAACACCAAGAACCATTATCAAGCCATTCACTTCTAGCACAGACTACCAATCCAATCTCCAACATCACTACTGCAGGAACAAAGCACTAATCAATCCCATCTCATTTCATTACATTACACTATCCTCTAGTTTCCCTATTAGTTACATAAAATAAACTTTGTACCTGCATTCACGCCATTTTGATAGACGTTCCAATTCTCGTCTTCATTCTCATCGCTATCGCTAATTTTTTCCCACCATATATACACTACACAATACATAGAATTTATATATATTCATTCATCACTACTAAAAAATGTGACACATCACTAAGAAAGAAAAAAAACACAACCTAGAAGTTAGAAGCAATCCCAAGCTAAATAAACCATGGCGAATACGCTATCGAAGTATCTAAGTATCAATTCTTATCAAATTCTTGGATTCCGGGTCCAATCGGGGTTCTTCGGGTTTGGTCTGATCTGATCTACCTAGTAGTCTCATCTAGTCTTCTGATCTGATTAGAACTCCATCATACTCAACACACCAAAATTTGTAAAAGTACCTACCTAAAGCAAAAGGCCCAGGTCTCACGAACTAGCTTAAACGATTGAAGATTCGAGACTGGTAGCCGATGATATCTGAATAACTTATGATCAATCGATATGGCTAGAAGAGAGTTAAATACCTACTTGGGAATTAATGAGCGAGGAGTAGGTAGGTAGGTAGGTAGGTAGACACTACCATAAACCTACACACACCTATGATTTGAAATATGAAATCTGATATTAATCCTATACATTACACTGTGTAGGTAATTCAGGTATAGAAAATGAAATAAGCAGATTTGGAATCCAACAAAAAGTATCATCTATATACGAAAGTGCTAATTTTGAAAAGCTGGATGATAAGACCATCTGTCTATCATCCAATATCCATCTACCAAATATTCGTTTTCTTACATCCATTTCTAGTTTTCCCCATCACAATTCTCGTTGATATATTCATGATTTACTCTACCAGGTCATAGGTAGATATTCACTATCATTCTTCTCTCTATTACATAGGTACATACATATCCATATACCTAGATATCAAGCAGATCTCCTTGAACCTTCAATTAACTTCAAAATTGTAGGAAGTGTAAGACTATGTATGTACCTAAGTAGCATCTGTCTTATGCGTCGCAACACCTAATCTAAGGTTACCCATCATGAGTCTGGGAAGCACCACGCATCGTTGTAGTCCAAGAGCAACCATGTAAGATATGCTATTTGTCGAAGCTGAAAGGGTATCAGGGCCAATGCTCGATAAATGCAGGTGATGGGGAAATTCTACAGAAAACGTATTTGCTCTTGGTACCTACTACCCTTCCATTGGGTTTTCCTCAAAAGGTTACTAGCATCGACTCCTTCAGCAGGAGTTGTCCCTCTTCGCTTGCAAGAATCCTTTACTCTTGACCTCATCCAAGATTAAAACTCCAAATGACCCAGCAAACCCTTAAGCGTCTCCTCTTCCAAACTTCTCAGTGCCATTCTCTGGTTCTCATCTCGATTCACATTCAAGAAGTCTTCATTAGCCAATCTCCACGGTAACAGGGCATCCGAGAGTTGATCGATATTCGCCAGAATCTCTGTGCCGGGAATGTCACTTGGTCGCTTCACATCCATCTTCTGCAGCGCTTCCTCCCACGCCTGTGCAACTTCCCATTCAATGCCTGTCCCATTCTGTGGCGCCACTCGAGTTGGAAGAGGCGAAGGAAATCGACCGGTGAGTTTGGAAGTGCGTAGCCCCTCCGCCTCTCTATCCCCTGACCAACCCAAAAACTAACCGCCGCTGCTGCCAAACGATAGGAAGAACTCATATGCCGGGTGCAGGATACGAGCAAAGTCGTAGTCGAGGAGTGCAGTGATACGACACGTAGCAGGATCATAAAGCAGATTCTCAGGGACTTCCGTCGTGGTTAATGGTAAGCTCACAGCAAGAATAGGAAAGATTCTTACCTGAATCTCCGTGTATGATGGACTTTTCTTGCTTCGTAGGTACAGCGGAGAATAGTACCGGCGGTCCCTTCTCCATAAAGGTGTCAATACGCTTTCGAACCCCGTCGTCTTTCCAACCCGGAACATACGGATTATCTTCTGCCTTCGCAAGCGCTGCTTTCAGACAGTCTCGACAAAACTTTTTCAAACTATCCCAAGGTCCAGCGCCAACGCCGATCATAGGCCCACTCACGACCGCATCACTGCCATCAAAATTCGCACCTCCGAGGTCACGAATACTTTCGGGCAGCGGGTAGTCCTGCAGTGCTTTCAAGAACAGCGCCATTTGTTCCAGAATCACTTTCTTCCAACCAAGCGGCATAGCTTCGAAGGCCTCGGCCAACGGCTCCCCAGGCATCAGCTCCTGGAAAATCCAGCCTGCATGATCGCGACTCGCGCTGCCCCAGCCAAAAACCCGTGAGACAAACAGGTGGATTGATGTGACATAGTGTATCTCGAGCAAGACTGAGGATAGCAACTTCATTCTGGATTCGTATTTCTTGATACACGTCTTCCGAGTCAGGATTACTGAGACGCAAAATGAACTCCCTTGTTCCTGCGGGAATGCCGTCGCATTCGAACAGTGGAAGTCCCGAGGTATCATGAGGAAGCAGGAGACGATAGACGAAATTGTTGTGTTTGAATGGGTGGCCGTCTTGATATTGTATTGGCGTGATTCAGATTTGTGGCAGCTTCTGATCATAGGCATCCATTTTAGTGGTCAGATGTAGATGGAAAAGATGCTCGAAAAGTAATCTATGGCAAGCAAGGGTTTAGATACGAAAAAGTTATATAACATACATTACTTGGGAAATGTAGAGAATCTGCAAGTATCTGTTCAATGTATTCAAGACGCGACTGGTAGTCGGCGTGGTTGTGGTTTACCGCCATGTTGATTAAAATTGATCTGATAGCTTGTAGGGTGAAAAGCCTATATTTTAGAAGAATTTGTAGAAACGTTGTGGACAGAGAGAGTTTGAGTCTGTATAACTTTATCAACATTGATGCTTAGTTTGGGATCATATATGCTTAATATATTATAGTATTTGAGTGCTTGTTGATGTGTGCGAGTAGAAGTTGAAGTGCTTAGTCAGGCTGTATAGTTTTGTTTTTTGAATTTATCAATTTTTTGAACTACCTGAGATGCTATGTAATATCTCTTGTGAAGTATAAAACAAGGGGTTTCGAAAAGCATCTGCAAGGTTTTGGGAGAGACAGGGTGTGAATAGATTTCCTCCACCATCTTCAGGAAAACCAAATACTGATAAACCTGATGTCAACTACTCTATCATCAAGATATACAAATACCAAAAATACAGACGTAGTCAATTATTGAACTCGAGATTACAGTCGTAAATGAATTTGATATCTGAATCTCCCAGGCGCGAGGAGCTTCGATTAAGTGCTCGCTCTCTTTCAATGCTCTACCTTTTCTATGTACTCAAGTTCACAATGTATCTTCTATCTAGGGACTAGAATAAATCTTAAAAAATATGAAAAGCAATTAAAAATGTCAATATCGACTTAATTTTTACCCAACTACTTCTCTACCCACCTGACCCCTCCAATCAATCTTAACATAAATACTTAGCCATTAAATCAAGATTCAAGATACAATATCATTGCCCAGCAATCTCCCAATCTCCTCCGCAATCTCCATGATTCTCTCCTCAGTCAATTTCCTCCCAATGATTTGCACGGCAACGGGTGCTCCGTGATATGCTTCCGGATCATCTATTCAAACATTAGTAAACCACTTCTGCAAACATAACCAAACCCCCCTCCCCCAGAAAGAAAAGAAACAAAACTTACACTCCCCCTGCACCACTCCATCCACCTCATTCAGCCCCTCATACCCCTCTCTCCTCCCATCCACCCTCTTATCCGCAAACAATACCGGCACCACCACACTCGTAAAATCCAACAAATTAATCACACTCGTGTACCCATAATACACAAACCGATCATGACGAACCGCGGCCGTCGCCGCCACAGGCGTAACAATCGCATCGATTTCCCTACCGAGTTTTTCTTCCATGATTCGAAATTGCTCGAGGTATTCGCATTGGTATGCCCATCTTTGGAGATTGATGTCCCAGAGTTCGTTAAGGGAGAGAGGGGGGTCAGTGGTGTTTGCAAAGTCGGCTATATTGGGGATGGGAGGCTCGCCGGATGCGGAAAGATCAGTGCGTATATCCTTGGGGTTGCTTAGTGGCGATTTCGATGGGGAAACTGTAGGTTATTGACTTACCTGTCCGGCATCTGAACTGTATATTTTGTTGAGGAGATCTTGAGCATGGTCATGCTTGTAGGGCTTCCATTCAAAGACTTGATGCCCATTTTCTTTCAGAGTATCGACTACTTTTTTGATGCCACGGAGAATTGGGGGATGGGGTAGAACCTGAGATAGTCAGTATCGCATTGTCTATAGGTTTTCTATCCTTCTGGAAAGCGAGATTAAACACTTCCACCCAGCTGTGTTTACTTGAGGTCTCGTCGTTACCGCAGTCATAGTCGGATATTAAACTTATCCTCATTCCATATACAAATGAACTGCCAGAAAAGTGCTGAGAGCCTTAAATGAACTTGACACATACTTTACCATCAAAATCATAGTATCCGATCGTCAAGCCACCATCCGAAATTCTAGACTTTATAACATCGGCTTCCGATTGCCTCCAAGGCATAGGAACAACTTTAGCATCAAATTTCCAAGGTTTTTCTGCAAGAACGGATTCCACAAATAATCGCATATCTAAGCAAATCAATAACTCGAACACGAAGAGCACCAAAAAAGTCTGAGGAAGTTTAACATACCTGCAACTGAATGTGTGATGGGACCACAAACACTATGCAAAGTTTCTTGGCCCTCCATACTATTTGCCATCTTACCATAAGGAAGACGACCATGACTTGGACGTAAGCCATACAAGAAATTGAATGCCGCTGGTACACGAATAGAGCCACCGATATCAGTCCCAACACCAATGATTCCACCTCGGAAAGCAATATTTGCACCTTCACCACCTGATGAACCACCACACGACCAATTTTTATTATAGGGATTCACCGTTCTCCCTATAATGTTATTGGTCGTTTCACAGCACATCAAACTTTGGGGCACACTGGTTTTCATGTAAAAAACGGCCCCGGCTTTGAGTAAAAGCTTGACGAGGATTGAATCGTCATCTTCGTATTTGCCAAGCCATGAGATATATCCCATAGATGTCTCAAGACCCTGATGGACACAAAATAAGTAGGAAACCTATAATGGAATCGTATTCCACTCACTTTAATTCTGAATTGATCCTTCAAAGAGATTGGTAGACCATGAAGTGGACCAATTGTTTTCCCCGTTTTCTTATAGTGCTCATCCAATTCCTTAGCACGTGCAAGAGCCATCTCAGGAAAGAATTCAAGAGCACAATTTATCTTAACATCATTAACATGGCTCATATTGCATCCGTGAACTACTCACAAGCTGATGGGCTAGAGCGGCTCTTTTACAAAATGCCGTTGTTACCTCTACGGAAGTCAATTCACCCTTTGCCATCTTGGCTACGAGGTCAGTAGCTGCCGAATTTGTAATGGAGATCTCGTCAATAGACATCACATCAGCAATATTAGTATATCCCATCACACAATCCTTAGAAGGCAGGGATTTCAAACGCCATTCCAAAGGGATACTGGCATTGATTCGATCCTTCTTATCTTTTGCAATCTCTTGCCAAGACATGTTGCTTCGATTGAGAGAACTAAATGGCGGTTGATACTTCAAGTGGCCCAAATAATTAGAGGTTCTGGAGAAGAGGGAATCTGAAGAGATGGCAGAGGAAACCGAGAAGATAGCACGACAACATCCGATAGTGGGGTTAATGTACCTAGTATGTCATAGCCTTGTAGGGCTTGAAATAGTGGATGTTTATGTGTGGGGAAGCTGCGATACTTGTATCTGCAGACCAGGTTCAGGCAGCGACTAACAATGCGTAGCAAATTTTGGTATGAAGAAACGCATGCCGCTCAGGGGCATCGAACGCAACATTCCACGCAAACGATAATACATACAAAGTTTCATAAGCTCGATACGAATTTCCGAAGATGTAGGACACATAATACAATAAGACCTAATCGAGAACCATAAACTATTGAAAAAGACTCGGGTTAAATGTCTAAAAGAGGACGCAAAATAGAATACAGCGGGGAACGGGGATGCCAAAGATCTCAAGCAAATCATATATGGATGACATCAAAACCAAGAAGTCTCAGAATGAAAAGAGTCTAGGGGGTCGAGCATCTTATTACAAACGACAATGGACCTGAGCCGCCATCTAATTAGATGTAGAAGTTCGAGCAGAAGGTCGAGGAGTTTTTCTTGATGACCCCGACTCGGACAATAACGGTGTACTCTCAACAGTAGTTCCACCTTCGTCATCCGTATCGTGTTCTCGCGAGCCTGCAATATACCCGACAATACATCTTCCATTGGACTGCTTAACGTTAGTGAGTGTTTTCGAACCAGCGAATAAATGATTTCACTTACAGCTCCACCCTCATTATTCTGTCTCTCCCTTCTAGCCTTTAGTTCGAAAGATATCCCCATAACCAACAAGCATCCTTGTAAACACCCTGTGATCAAGAACACACCCCATGTACTCCAACCACCAGCTCCTAATCTAGCAAAAAGACTCATGGACCAAACAAAGCTGCCAGGAGTTTGAATACACATCATTGGTATACTCAGGCTTCCAATGTGACCAAGATTGTATGTCAACCAGATTTGAGGTATATATTGGATACCTGCAAGAATCGTAGCTATAATCCCCAATGTGTTGGCCCATACCCCGAGTACATTAGGGTGAGCGAGTGCCAATGATGCACTGACAACGATAGTAACGAATCCATGGAAGAGACAAACCAAAGCTACCGTGACAGCTGTGCGCCATGTATGTTGTTGTTTATTATCATCGAGTGTAGGAAGGGTCGGAGTTCGCGGGAAGAATACCATGAAAAGGACTAATCTATATGAAAGTGCTATTAGCATTTGACATCTTCATTGTAGATGATCGCCTTGCGTACATTACACTGAAGCAAAACCATTGAACCCCAACTTGGGCAATACCAAGTAATCCAGCGGCACATTCAAAGGTGCTAACTGTCTTGCAACATGCCACATCCGCGCGAGATGCTGGCAGAACTATTATATTTGCAAAAGCGCATGTTCCTGATGTTGTACCGAGAAGAATAAAGAAGGGGGATATTCCCTCTGAGGTTTTGCGACTGATGATTCGATAATGTTGAGGTAAGTAAGAAACGAGAATTCCAATAAGAATGAAGCTGGATAAGGTACATAAGTTGTTAGTAAGTTACTATTATAAATGAACTGAGAAGTCTGGAGAAGCTGCTTACATTGATACTGCGAGATTGATGTAGCTCACATCTTGGAGCTTTTGGCAGCGGTCTGACAAGTTATCTGTGATAGACAACATGATGATGAATTGTAAATTGTGAATGAGATAGATGAATGATGAATCTGCTAATGGATTATCGGAAAATCCAAAGCTTGCTATTTTTATGGTGAATGAGTTTAGATCATTGGTAAGTAGTTGTGAATGTTGATGTTTATCTCAAGTGAAGCTTTAAGAGAAATGCCATAGCTACCGGCACCTAGGTACATAATAAGGTACCAACAAACATGGATCAACACGCTCAGACACGCTTCTCCCATGCTATCAGCTGATAGGAAGGTGTGAAACACAGGGGTAGCTGTTTTATGCGGCCGCATTATTCCATGATTACTAAACAAATTCTCCAAAGCCACCGGTGAGCCACCACCACTACTTCCACTTCACGCCAACTAACGGTGAACCCTTAGTACAACGGTGGACCCTTGAGTAGTTGGTGAGAATGTTCACTTCATAGATCGCCAGATGTTCAAGTGGCCGTTCCCATTGGTGTATGTGTTCAACCTTCCTGTACTTTCTTTCCCTATTGTCTAGTACTGAGTATCACCAAGTTCTGTTTCTGTTGATCTCTCACCATAGCATGACCCAATTTTCTCATCCCATATTGTCTTAGAAATGCAAGAGACTAATGGCTGGTGAGAAACTAGACATCCGTAAGTATATGGAAGTTCGATCTCTATTGCAGCCAAATATCAAACAGCGAATTGCGGATGCATCATTTTCAAAGTGTTATCAGTTTATTCTACATGGATCTACCAATCAAACTCATCTCGAGCCTGCATAAACACCGATTTTAGTGTCGTTGACTGCAGTTACCATTCATCCCCACTGTAACCCCAGCTCCGGAAACGAACGGTCTTCGAATACAACCTGTCTTTGTCATCACTTTGAATGATTCAATAAGTTCCTCTTCGTATCCATCTATTTCCTCTACATTTGAAATTCTTCATAAGCAGAAGTTTCTTGATACTTTACCAACAGCATTTGAAGTGAATAATAAGTCCATATAAATCCTTCTATCTAGCTTCAACAGAATATCCACCGCAAAGACGGATCTCGTTCAAGTAGTTTCAATCATTTTCAGCCTTTTTACGGCTACAAACATCATGACGTCCAACACGACTATAGTCCCACAAGTGCAAAGTAGATCTTCCAAACGAAGTCGCAATCGTACACTACTCTCATGTACGGAATGCCATAGGAGGAAACAAAGATGCAATCGAAATCATCCCTGTAATGATTGTCTGGAGCGGCGTGTTCCACATAAGTGTCAATTTGTGATACCTTTGTAAGTGTCCATTGACAGGATACCGAGAGTTTTTATTGATTCGGAGGGAACAAAGAAGACAGAGAGATTCGAAACTTGATTATCAAACCACAAAAGCTGCTCGTGATCGAAGGATACTTGCTGGAGAGGAAGTTCTACTTAGCCTTGAATCGGTCGACGATCTAAGAAGCGTTGGATCATCTTATGCATCCACTCGTGCGCCTACAGATTTAACACAGGCATTGTTCTCTAATCATACTCCTACTCACGATATAAAACTGCGGGCTTCCTCTTGGCACAATCTAACGAGTGGGATTCTAGATGCGTTCGATCCATTCTCGATATTTCCAGATACAGGTGGAGATCCACTTTCCAAATCAATTCTCATAGAATACTGTAAGCAATTTCTTTCATATCTCGGGAGAATCTTTACTGATAGCAGAAAGTTGTTAAGCAATTATGTCCGTGGCTTGGTACATATGATGACGCTAAAGTTGTGGGTCGCCCAGCATTCTCCTGGCTACCATTTGCTTTGCAACATCCCCCGTTATTCTATGCTACGTTATTAGGTGCAGCCGTTCACCTGGACCGCAAAAGACCTATAAACAAACGCAGTCTGGTCTGGTACAAGATTGAGACAATGCGTTTAGCAAATGAAACAATGAATGTACCTCGCGAGGCTGCTACGGATCAAATGCTTATAGTGGTTTTAATCTTGCTATATTTCAACGCAAGTCTTCGCCTTGATATGTAAGTGTCGAGCTGACAATAAATTTTAGGTCGGTGGTGGAGATGGAGAAGAATACGAAATGCATCTCTTAGGTATTAATCAAATGTTAACCATGAGAGGTGGTATGGACAATTTAGGGATGAGAGGTATGGTTAAAAACTGGCTGGGAGTTTGTTATGGTCCTTGGCATCATGATTGGCACTATGGTCTTTTTGTGGATTTTTATGGCATCAAACGACATTCGTACATGAGATGACACAATCAAATTCCAAATTTCGGTTTGCAAGACTATCATAAAGTTTGAACCTCCAAAACCAACCCTTCTCGAATCACACATCACCAACCAAGCCAATAACTGTCTGCAGCCACTTTACTTTACAAACTCTTCTTCCACTCTTCCACGGTCAATACCTGATTTGCAAACAATGGCCAAATAAGATTAGTGGCAGCATCCTTTGCAACGGTAGTAAAGCCTGCCGTTGCATCCTTAAGCATGGTTACATGATATCCCCTAGTACCGCCATCAGTCACTGTCCAAGACACGCAAATCCAAGGTTAACTTACAATTCATAAGCATATCTTGCTGTGGATTCCAAACAAGTATTTGCCGTCAATCCGGCAAAGATTAGATGGGTGATATCTCTTTGCTTCAACTGGTAATCCAAATCGGTGTTTGAGAACGAGCTATTTTTCTTATATTAGTCATCCTCGCTTTCTCAACCATATCTTCAAAATGCACGACATAATACATACCTGCTGCACCAATGTTTACTAACAACCACATCTCCATTTCCCTCCACATCCGGCTCCAATCCTTCATAAATCTCAACACCCCATGATCCCTCCTCAAAAGTCTTGTGATCTCTTTGACCTTGCTGCATCACAGTTGCATGTTCCCAACCTGCTAGAAATCCAACTTTTACCTGTTGATGCAAACCATAGTAGATAGGAATTTTCTGAGCACGAGCAGTGGTCACGAGATTCTGGAGATGAGCAATGGTGTTTGTATCGGCGAGAGACTCGGCGAGAAGTTGGTTGACTTTGCCTTTGGGATGGAGGAAGTCATTGTAAGGATCGATGAGAACGATTGCGGTTTTGTTGGTGGATGACATCTTGGGGGATTGATTGAGTGGAATAGAAGAAGTGAATAAGTATTGTGATTGAGAATGGTGAGTTGTGTTGAATTCAATTGAGATGCAATGGAATTATCTTCTGTCTTTATATATTTCTTTGTGAGCTGCTTACACGCAGGAGAGCACCCCTCATTGATACACTAATATCGGCCTTTATGCATGTACGTTGAGTGGAATGTTACAAATCATCATGTTCTCCTTGCTTTATCAACTGATTATATAAACTTGACACAAATTGTCGCTACCTATATGAGAATTGGAACATCTAGTCTCGGATAATACTCCTCATTATTAGATTGTTAGCTTATACGGCTGGGATGTGGAGAAGACTAAAAACGGCATTAAGGCATGATTAGATGATGAAATGCGGGGTGTGTACAAGGATGAATTCAGCCAATGAAATGAATTGTTTTCTGTTTGGAGGTCACTGGAAAGATTGAGCCACCACAAACGATTCGAAAATTTCTACAGAGGGCGATTCATGCTCGAAAACGCTGTGAAGATTGGTTCGAGTCATCCAAATAACACTGATGTTCTATGCAAGACCTCAAGAAACTCCCAAGACACGGAATCCTTTTGGACCGAAACTTTCAATAGGTTTCAAAACCTTGAAACTGAAGACTGTTTGGAAGAAGACAGCGAGGTCGAAAATGATGAAGAAAGTTCCGAGCCCAATTCCGACACCTCAGACACTTCAGACACTTGCGAACTAGAAGAAGAATCTCTGGAGATGAAAATGGGCATGACAATCTATATTTCTTTGAGGATCTTCATCGAATTCAAAATTTCCTACATGAGATATGGAGGAGATACAAGAATAAAACGCTAGATCTCCTCACTGCCACATTGATAACAAACACCGCGCTTGAGTTAGTTCGTCGTAGTGAACAGGAAATCTTGAGCAATGCACCAAAGTTGTTTTCGAAGAAACGATCCTATGACACCATTGCAGCTGTCACCTTCTACGCAAACGGACTCAACACTGGGAAGGACCCTACACAGAAAATGGAGCTGAAGGAATGGTTACGGCCTACACCATTTGATGACTCCATATATCTATCCACTGCTCGTATTCTGATGAAGTATGAAGATCTTTGTAAGATGGGCCCGGGTTATCCTATTCCTTCACTTCCGTTACGGGCTGCCTATATCTCATGTCTGGAAATCCTTGTAACTCCTTACATGGATAAGAAAGAAAAGGTGGATGTTTTACTTTCACAACTCATCATTGATCTCGCCCTATTCGACACGTATAACAGAATGACGAAAGAAGATGAATTTAGAGATCCGGCACTATATGCACCTCCAGCGGCAGATGCTCTGACTGCTGGCTTACAGAAATTGAAACATGAAGGACATATTAGCGCCACTGTCGTATTTGCCTCCCAAATATTTCTCGATTTGAACGAGATACCTGGTGATAACATCACAGCAGGATGCGAAGATTGGGAGAGGCTGGTTTCTAAAGGCCAAAATAGTCTAGATTTCTGTTTCTGGCTCCCAAAGGATACCGCTGGTGGTCACTGGTGGAATCCTAGCGATTTACATACGCTCAAGAAGATACTCGAGATCAACTCCAGGTATACCAACTCAGGAATGTTCATTAAACTCAAAGAGTGATTCGTAGAATCATACTGCTCAGGGCCAGATTGGGGTAAGGTGAACTATAACGAGTCTATTTCTACAACAGGCTTGGTCAATCGCTTGGGTCAAGAATCAAGTAACACTTCTGTCCTCCAACCAATGGCGAGCAAGAACACATACTGCACGGAACAAGGAAACCTATCAGGAGTAAAGTTCTCAAATAATCTAGTGATAACCGACACCTATACTCGATTTCCAGAGCGTGGCCTTCTTTCGAACGGCAGGTTAGCCCCTGATTGGAGTAAACAATGGTTGGTAAGCATTGGCGCAGTTATGAAAGCTAGTAACACCGAGATACGCAATCAGCAACTCATTGAAGGTGTTAGGCAGCTCGATATCCGATTGATAATGCCTCACGACGATCCATTGTTTCTCTACACACAGCGTCCTATGTACTGTGGAATAGTTGCTCTCAGATTATCGATGAGCTACGACGAGGCCGGTCTCGCCCATTTTGATTATCACCTCGTCATGATCTTCACAGCACATCTGTACCATGAATGTGTAAGAACCAACTTTATTCTGAAAAGACGGCCAGCAATGGAAACAATGATAAAGCTACACAGGAAGGAAATTTTAGATGAAAACGTGCCAAAGTCCGCAGACGAGGTATACAATATATTCTCCAAACACTTTCTCCTCTCTAAGGTTTCAAATCGAGAATATACCAGAGCAAAACCTTCACTGAATTTGACAATGCTGAAATTATCAAGAAATACTCTCAGTCAGGCTATCCGTCCATTTCTGGAGCACCAAGCCGCTTTCAACGAAGCCACCAATAATTTCCAGAACCTAGTCCAAGAACTCCCATCGGCACGCATTATGAGCGACAAATATCGACGTGTGAAGCGACAACTTACTTCCTTACAATTGCTTCGTGTTTTGGAAGACTTTCTGCCCGATGAGATGCTGAAAATTCAATTCGATTACATCGCTTTGACAATCGTTTGTTATCGTCTATTGGAGAAAATTCGATTGGGAATCGATCCCACTGAAAAACAAAATCCGAAGCGTATGTTGTCAACTGAAATAGAACCGGCATATTTGTTTATGACTTTGGATACACTATCTAAAGGGAGGACTGGAGGCGAAAATCCATTGTTGAAAATTGCAGCGGGGGTATCAGACAAGTTTTTCGAGGAAATTTTGAATAGTTAAGAAAGTAAAGGGCGCGATGATCTTACTCAACGCGGTTGGGATGTAGGGAAGCATCATGATGTTGAGTAGTCATGATTTCAAGGAGCGCAAGATTGGTGTTGGTTAGGGTACTTTTACGATAGGAAATTTGTATTGTATAGAGATCTTTGGCTGAAACTATGCGAGTATAGACCACACTTATTTAAGATATGGAACTGTATTGATTGACAAAAGGAAACTCTCTCGCCCTCCACTTTAAACATGATGTACCTGAAAAAGAACATTTACTACTGATGCTCATTTCGAACGTCTGGGTCGAGCTAAATGTCATGGAACATAGATGGTGAACATTAAAAGTGAGTTCCTGGCCTACGTAAAATTCTATCTATATTTTCTTTGATAGTCCTCTGTTGCACATCTATCCAGGAGATAGGAAAGTATACTGCTACCCCTGAATCTAAGGAAATCTATTTAAATATTCCCTCTGCATGAAAATGGAAAGGCTTCTTACAACCCTTCTATAGTACCAATTGTTGCATATCTGCGCAGGAATATCTCTATACTAACACTTTAGTATGATAGTAGCTTAGAATTAGCTCAATGATACAATCTCTATTCAGCTTCGAGAAATCCATACTAGAATACTAGTTCATTGCTAGCCCTTCTAGCTCTCTAGCAAAATTCGATTTCACACTACTTTCCGTGATACCTACTAGTCCCTCTTATTGATACCTAACATATCACATTGACGCATATCTATACCAGATACCCGAGTGAGATTCAAAGTAAGCGATGATAGCAAGCCAAAATCTATCATTAAAATCATAGCGAAACCTTTCCGCAAAAGGGGTAAGCTCTCAGAATCACATTCAAAAGAGCTCCGTCTTCGCCAACATTCGGCTACAATTTTCGGATACGCAGCAAAACCTCTCAAGTAAAAATATTCACCACTAGAGACTATCGTCTCACACACAACGTAGCTAGGTATGATAAGCTAAGAACTACAAGCGAAAAGTTTCGTTGCATATCTGATTTCAACGGCAAAAGTGAACTACTACTATCCCTTCCTGGGTAACCATCCTCTCCATCTCACCAAACCTTAGCCACCGATCTATTTCCAAAATCAACCAACCTTCAACCACAAAAGTGAAATTCAGATATGCAACAAAGCCCCACAACCCTCCATATTCACTCAAACTAACCCCCAGCGCAGACTTCATCCCTATTCACGCCCTCTCAAAGAAAAATTATTCCAACATCATCCGCCGATAAAATTCACGAATTGGGTTTTCAGATATGCAACGAAACTCCTCGTTGACCGTAAGGCAGGCGCATTCACTTGTAGACCTCCAGCACTGATGCTATCCGTGTAAGTCTTATTCACTTCAGAGACCTAGGTTCGTAACGCTATATTACTTGATTTTGTGCGGTGGTATATGTATAAATGATACGACCAGAAGCTTTTCAGGCGTTCTCCTCCTCGGAATTTCATTTGAATGCTACGCCGGAATAAGAAATGCAACAAGCAGATGAGGGAACGAATCAAATTGTGCGTTATTGTCCAAGTCGGATACGGGATATACACAGATAGATGGTCATCAATCTCATCTACCTCCATAGCGATGTACAAATCTGCACCATATATGCTACAAATACGCTGCATCTCCACACAACTCGCAGGAAAGTGCTCATAGACCCAAGTGCGCACTACCAAGACAACGAGTTCATAAAGAGCAATCGTACTTGATTTTTTAAAGTACAAAATTCCAGTGTTCAAACCGACTAAAACCTGGAAACTACAATGCATCCAAGGGAATACCGTGCACTAGCATGGCGAAGGGGGAGCCCGAGTAGCTTTAGTAGGATGTCTACTAGAAAGCCTAAAAATGGATAGTTGATATCCAGGGCTGCATTGTGAGACCATGCTGCTATAAAGCATAACATCCAATAGACTGAGGAAGATAAAAGAACTTTTGAAGGGGATAATGATGTCAGCCAGTATCTCTAGATTTTTCAGCTGGCAGGAATCTTCCAATGCCATGGAATAAATAGCAAGAAGGATAATGAAGTGAGTAGGGTTGGATTGGTTTGAAGATGACCTTTGATGCATCTTATGTATTAGTACATAAACTGTATATTGAAGTCGACTAGCTCTGTTAAGACTTGAAGAATCAATGCCGCATATCCTCTAATCGCGCCGCCATGTATGTCTGACACGTATGTTCCATCTATATACCATAACGCCTTGCAAATGCATCGTACTAGTTCCATGATTCCATGATAGCTTGTGTATCCATCCATACTGTGTCTCCAATGTGGGCATAAAATGAGTCACAATCCCCATAATGCCCAATGCCCCTCTCAACCTATATGGACAACCCAATTGTGCACCATGCCTGCAAATTCGAATCGATTACTCCAAACGATTCATCAATCCTTTCCTAACTTTCATATTGACAACCCCTCCAACACCAAATGCAGGCACAATTCTACATATTCTAGCCGCAGCACTGACACCCCAATTCTTCTTTATAATACTCCACCTATCTCCCCAAGTAACACCTTGACCTCTGTTATATAAATCCAAGCCCAATAAATGCATAGGCGTACTCAAAAGCTGTACGGAAGCCGGTGCGAGAAATTGGGAAATTGTTTGTCCGCTTATCGATTTTTGTAATTCCTCAGATAGATTCTTATTGATAATCGGACCAAGCATTGGCGGTATGTTGAATGAAGCAAAAATGGTGAGACAATCACGAGCAGTGAAGAGTATATATGAAGGAAGTGGTACAGGTCTCGGTGGACCGGAGGGACCAAACATACGGGCAAACGTTTGATCTTTGAAAAGGCACAATCCGATATTTGCAGTCGAACTTGCAACGAATTTGGAGGTTCCAGATGTGACTGTGGATGCGGGTTTATTGTGTATGGTGGATGTAACAGTATCGAGGGTATTGGCTGTTAAATATGTGCCTCCATATAACATACATATCAGGGCGAACGGTTTCGAGAAGATGAGACTATGAGGTCGGAGAACAAAGCTCTTGAGGGATAATCGTAATGATTCTTTGAGTGTCGCTTGACCTGAGGCATTTTGCATGATGCCTCTGTTATAATATTAGCAATTGGCGCAAGAGTCAGGGAGTTAAAACTTACTTATCAATGATAGTGATAATTGGCGCAACCATAGTTGCAGCAGTGGCACCAGACACAAAATCCACACCCAATCTATATGGCAGATTCTTTGTATTCCACTCTCGAGGTTCTGCTATAGGTTCTGCGAGTTCAGGACTTCGAGTCACTGTCTTTGGGTTGTCAATTTTCATTGGAGATTTTGGTGACTCCATATTGTGTGAGTCTTCGGATTTCATAAAGAAAATGTCATGAACAATCAACCAAGAATCAACGTCTCTCTACAAAATGAATAGATGAGAAATGTAGAATCAATTGGATTCGGTATCAAATAGATGTGAAGCAAACAATTGCTTAGAAGAGACTTGGAGAATGGAGAATGACACCAAGGATCCGAGTAAACAAAAATTGTATCTCCGTACAATAAAGTTTCTTGAGTGGAGGCCGAAGTCGCACTATGCAATCAAAATGCACAGAGGGAAAAAAGCAATTGATAAGTAGAATAAGCTTATCGGAGAAACCCTTTACGATAGCAACCCGAAGCTAACCGATTGTGTGCAGCATGAATCAATCTCTCGACATCAGTGGAGGGGTTTCTTTTCTATTTTCTATTTTGTTTCTTTCTACTTATTGCAAATGAATTGATGAACACCAATACAATGCAAATGTAACCCTATCTACATTGTCATTGCTGCCATCAAAGCAGTAGCACCGCAATACGGGTTCTCTACAGCAAACGATAGCTTCAGTTAGCCGTTCCGGGGGAAAGAAGCGGATCCGAAGAGTAGGTAATAACAGGGGCACATCCTACCTCAAAATGATCCAACCAATCATGAAAACTAGATTAATACCCCCCATGTTTCTTCGCTTAATGAGAAAGATCGTCGTGACTTTGACATTCAGTTCAGAAGTTGTCTCGTCAGCTTACCACGACGAGATATATAATCTGGTTGAAGTAGCAATATGGAACCGGGAAAATATGATGATTCATTCAAAGAAGAAGAGACGGGAATGAGTGACTCTTTACTGAGAGACGAAAAGGGAGACACATGTCAACTAGAATCTCAGCATGATGAGAAGCCACGGATGACACGGTCCGGACAAGGCTTGCGAAACAAATGGATGAATAGGCTACTACTTGGCCTATTGATATTCTGGGTTTATATATTCTTACCGCAGAGCAAGGATACATTCGATGATGATGCTGTACTTAGTGAGGATAGTTGGTCTTGGGAACTGGTAAGGAATTCTTATTGGGGAAATTAGATGGAGCTAACTGGACATCATTAGATCAAGCCAAACTCGGAATTAGTTTGGCATAAGTGCTTTGATGAGTTTGATTGTGCAAGATTGGAGGTATGACTACTTTTTCTGTCGACTTTTTCATTACAAGCTCATCATATACTCTAAATGCAGGTACCACTAGATTGGTTAGAGCCTACCAATTCATCAAAAGTTGTTTTGGCCGTCTTGAGAAAGAATGCAACATCAACGGTGGATTATAAGGGTCCGCTCTTTGTCAATCCTGGAGGACCCGGAGGATCCGGTGTAGGCACCGTGAAAGATTTTTGGAAAGCTGTTCATGTTACTGTTGGAGCCAACCACGTGAGTGCTGACTGTTCCCAGTCACTTCAAGACTACAACTAATAATCAAAATAGGATCTTATTGGATTTGATCCTCGTGGTAGTGAGTTTGTAGCATCAAATTAATAGTGAGATCATGTATTGACTTTATGCGAAGTTGGCGCCACCACCCCTTCTGCTCATTGTTGGAATGGACCACGAGAGGAGAGAATCTGGGGCATTCAAAAACTCGGACTTGTCGACTCACACCCAGGAATGATCTATGATCTTTATGCACGTCAAAGTGTAGAGTCTAAGAACTGTGAAGCTAATCTTGGTGATCTATCACGATTTCTGGGAACAGCTTCTGTAGCAAGAGACATGTTAGAGATACTCAATAAGCTCGGGTATGAAAAATTGAGATATTGGGGTCTGAGTTATGGTACAGTAATCGGAGGTACCTTCGCAGCCATGTACCCCGATAAAGTTGAGCGTCTCGTTAGTGACGGTTCGTATTGTTTGCGACTTTAGACAATGAAGGCTCGCTAAAGCTCTGATAGGAAACGTCAATTACTCAGAATGGTACAATGGAACCGGAATCCATTACATCGAGGATACGGACAGAGTAATGCTAGCTTTCTTTGACTTATGTCATAAGGCGGGTCCCCAAAAATGTGCGCTCTATGCCTCAACGCTTATAGCAATCCAAGAACGACTCGAAGCTATCTATACCAAGCTTCAAAAATATCCATTGCAAGTCTTCCCTACCACAAACAACAGAATGGAGTTACAGTCATTGGGAATCACCCGACCAGAACTTCTCGCTTATTCGGACGTGAAGAATGCAGTGATCTACTCACTCTACCAACCTTTAGCATTATTTCCTCACTTGGCCAAAGCTTTAGCTGCACTAGAAGCTGATGATGGTATACCTTTCTTGAAATTGGCTATAGCTCAAGGACACATACAACCAAGTTTTACATGTGGTTGCAACTCCCCTGACTGCGAAGAAGAATCCAGATGGCCACTAAAAGCAATTGGAAATGGCGATGCAGCAACATATGTAAAATGCGGAGAAGGTGATGCCGATGCAGATAAAGATAGTTTGGAGGTTATGATACAATACGAGGAAGAGTTGCGAAGAAAAAGCCCATTATCGGCACCCGTTATGTTCAATATTCGCCTATCGTGCGCTGGCTGGAAGTCAAGAACAAAATGGAATTTCGTTGGTGAGTATTCCTATCGATCACGCTTCTCCTGATCAGACATGCTAATAAGACTCATTTTCAAAGGTCCATTTGAGCAAAACACCAGTCATCCAATCCTCTTCATCGGCAATTCAGCAGACAACATCACACCACTAGGAAGTGCAATATACAACTCACACTTCTTCCCTGGATCCTCTGTTCTAGTACAGAATTCTTATGGTGTAAGTTCCTCTCATAATAACATCCGATAATTCACAGCTCATCAAATTATCTAGCATACCTCGGCATCTTGCCCTTCCAAATGTACAGCCAAACATCGACTTGCGTATTTTCAAACCGGTATTCTCCCATTAAATGGTACAGTATGTGAGCCTGATTTTATACCATTTGGAATTGAGGTTGAAGGTATGGATTCGCAAAGTGATGGGGATGAAGAGTTGGAGTGGGCATTGAAAGAATTGATGAAGTTATTGTAGATTTTGTCTACTTTGTCTAGTTTTTCTCATCTATATGCTTTAGATGGAGGAGGGGAAAATCATGAGTATCAGATAGGAAGGACAACAGGAAGATTGAAAATCAGATTGGAGTAAGTAAGACCACCAAAAGCATGCCTTCAACCGTCACGGGAGAAAGAAAATATGGTTCATGTATTCCGTGCTATGTAACCCTTGTAAATGACCTGGGCTTTCATAAAGCCCCAGATACTTCACTGGAGAGAACATGTTAGCATAGTAAAGCAAAATTCATATCTACCAATTGGCCATCTATATCTCCCTAAAATCTATATCTAGCAAAACCATCCATCTAATCCCGTCTCAAATCAAGCCCTGAAATCCCAAGCCCCACACTAATTACCCCCTGCGGTCGGAAACGGCAACTTCCTATGCATCCGCATAACCACTTCCGCAAAATCTCTCTCATTCTCTTGGCTCAAAATCCCATGCCTCACAAAAAAGTCAATCATCACCACCGCACTATTCGTCTTAAACGTCCCCTTCCGCAACTCCTCCATCACCTTCTCCACCCCCCACAAATAAAACCCCTCCACCTCATCATCCCTCGGCGTCGGGATCGTCGCTTCCCCAACCTCCAAATCATACACATATATCATATCCGCCGTCACCAATCCCTTAATCCCTCCCGACCCCTCCCCACTACTCTTCATATACGTAATCACACCCGTCGATTTGACATCTGCACGGATAAGCTCAGAAGACAACGAAGCCTCTTCATCAGCTTCGTGAATGATGGTTTCGAAAGGTGATTCATCTGCGCGTACACCCCCTGCCACCGTGGTATCGAATTTCCCCGGGTACGTAAAAAGATGCGCGCTGCGTTTTGCGACCCAGATTTTCATTTCGCCTTCGGAGCTGCGGGTGTAGATGGTGAGATGTGCACCACGGGATATGATACCGAAGAGTGAGGCGGCGTAGCGTTCGAGGTTTACGGGTTGTTTGGCGCCCGGGATGGCGTAGGGCTCGCTGTGTTCGCCGTGGAGAGTGCTGAAGATATCCTTGTCGATTGCTTCGTTGATGACTGTTGCGAAGGCGTTGTTGCATGTAGTGGAGTAATCGTTTGATGCGATGTCCATGGGATGCAGTTGGACGCTCAGGGGAGGGTTTTGAGTGATGGTGAATTCGGGGGACCAGGGCATTTGGGAGACGATTTCGGGAAGCATGTAGCCATGGACCCGATCATCGTCTGGGAGGTATAGCTTGTATAGTTCGTCGATGTTTGCATCGTATGGAAAGCTGATAAAGGGGTAATTAGCATCATAATTTTTAGGGAAAAGATTGGATAACTTACTTATCACAAGCTTTCACAAGATCTAGACATGACTTCTTCGAATCTGAGGACATGATGATTGATCATACGATTTGCTTTAAAAGTGGGATAAACTAAATCCGACGACGAAATGTCCTCAATACTAAATCTCCAATTCTCAATCTCAAGAAAAGAGCAGAGAATTCCAACATGTAAACCCAACAAACTGGTCACGAAACACCGCGTAACGTGATGTATTGAAGATGTTCCCAAAGTAATTTTCAATCGTATCACACTTTCTTAGATAACCCATCTGGCCCGTGTGTCATGTATCAGAATAAGCGATACGCTTACCTACCCAACCCCTTGCACCCTCTACCCCGCATTTTACTACCCCAGAATAGATACGCAATACCACCTCCTCCTCACTTCATGCAACCATGACCTGTTATTTGTCTCAAAGAAAACATGTATTGTCATTGTACTCTTACAGTACTATCAAACAATCAGTCAGTGAGACACGATGAAAGTTGATGCTTTGAGAAAAACATCGACAAGTTATCGCACGATGGATTCAATATATTTCTAGTCGGAAATTGATGTATACATAAGTAGGTACTAACAAGTACCTAACCAACTTCCACCCCGTTCATACAACACCACTTCAAAGATATTACAAACAAACCATCAATATCTCACAAACCCTACATACCACCCACCCCGGGCTCTGAAACCCCTCGGGCTTTGAACCGGGATCTAATTCCAATCACCACCATTCCCTCTCACCCCCTCCCATCTCAAACCACAAATCACAATACCGGGATTTGTACTCCCTCCCTCTCTTCCTCACTCACTCACACTCTCACACATCATTCTCCTTTCCTCTCCTATCCTATCCCACCCTACCCTATCACATCCATTCAGGCTATACCCACCCTACCATATACATCCATACCTACCCCCAACATGATCACGAGGACACACCAAAGATACCTACATAAACATGTTCTTTCCTCCAGAATATAGATTCTCGTTTATTATTCTCTCCTTCCTTTCAATTATTGATTTAAGTTTTAAGTATCGGTTTCTTTAACCTCTTTCCATCTTACACCCATCACCAACACCAGAACCAAGCGATAATCATCGCAATACTCTCCTCACAACTCACCACTCACTACTCACTACTCACCACTCATTCCACCACCATCCAATCTCCACCCACTCATCTCAGCTAACCAGCACATCTCATAAATTCCCACTCACCAAACCATCTCTCCATCTCTCCATCACCACCAACAACCCCCTCAAACCCAAACCCAAACCCAAACCCAATTCAAGATGGCCCGCCCAACCCTCCTCTCCTCCCTCTCCCTCTCCCTCCTCACCCGCTCAATCCGACAATCCTCCACCACCGCCACCACCAAATCGCTCACCCCCCGACAACCCATCTACTTCGGTCCCAACGTCTACTGGGGAAAAGCTTGGAAGAATGTTTACGGAACTGGGTTACTGTATGTTATTTTCCATTTCTTCATTTCTTCATTCATATATTCATTGGATTAAACCTCCCCCCGCCCCCCCCCCCCCCCCCCCCACCCCTTTATTTCAAAAAGAGAAAGAAAAAGAGAAAGAAAAAGAGAAAGAAAAAGAGAAAGGAAAAGAAAAAAAGGAAGAGAAATCTATGCTATGCTATGCTATGCTATATTATGCAACACCGTACCGTACCATGCTAACATCTCCTCTAAATAGTTACGTCCCCGTCGTTGCCGCAGTCATGTTTTGGCCCGTTCCAATTGCGCCAATGATGAATTTCTCAAAGGGGGTTAAGAAGGAGGGTGTGGTTGCTTGAGATGGGAATGAACTGATGTGATGTGGGATGTGCGATGGAATTTGCTGGTTGAGATTTATCTCAGACGAACATGCTGGGAATTCCGATACAAGCACGGCAAAGGTCATGAATGAATAATACAAGAAAAATATATGATACCGTCCCATCGTGATTTTTTCATTACTATTTCATGTACTTGCCCATCATAAGAACTAACCGATTGACCTAAAAACAATTTGGGTATATCCTCTTTTATACACAATAAACACAACCTCCCGTCATGATATCATTCAATACATGTACTTCAAATAATACAGACCAAACGTTTAAAACGCAAAACACCGCCATCAAAATTCTATCCACTCAAACTCCCGCTAATTCGCAATTGTCACAAAGAACTCCCCTTTGTCAAATACTGTGCTATGATACCAGCTTCTGGCGTTTCATGTGGTGTCCTATACTCACTCGTTCCTCGACTAGTAACCCCTCCAATATCAAGTCCATTGGTTGAAGTAAGACCACCATGATCATTATCAAAGTATCCCTTTTCTTTTCCCTTCGAGCTTGTCATCCTGAATTTTTCCATATTGACTTCACTTTTTGTTTGTGAAAGATTGGCGCTGCCAGGTCGTTTCTTCTTCTTGTCTCCCTTTCCTTCTTTCCGCTTTCCAATCAAAGTTTCATTCTCGACCGAAGAATTTCCAGCTGTACGCATTCCTCTAAATTCTCTGACAACTTCAGCAAACCCTTCCTCCAAAGTCTTCATTCTTGCCAGCATCAATCTTCCCATCATACCATCTGCAGTTTCTTCTTTTTTATCACGTTTCATCGCCATCTTTGTAGCGATAGCCATTTGAGTTTGAAATGAACTCGGTACTGCGCCAAGTTGTGCGTGCTCAAGACCCATTTCCGATAAACTGATATTCAAACTAGATTCTTTATGACGCAAAACGCGATTGCGTGCAGGATCTGGTTTAGTGATAATTGGAACAGATTGAAAATTTGTACGGTTGGGTAAAATAGGACGTGGTCGAACAGTTGTATTGGTGAAGTTGGCGGTTCTTGGAGTACGAGATCCTGATTGGCCTGCTGGGGTATTGGTTCCGGTATTGGCTTGTGAATACATTTTTGCTGTTAATGGCCGTGAACGAGGGGGAGAATTGGACGAGAATGAAGAATTTTGAATAAGAGGGTTGAAGAGAATCGTCGTCGTTGATAAGTTCCTATCATGAGCTTTCTTCTTTGGTGTAGACTTGGATTGCTTCGAGGGAGAATTGTTTTGTTGAGTGATATCTTGCTGGGGATTGAAAGCCGCAATGGGAGAGATAAATCTCGTTGCAGTTGGGGTTTGAAAATACTCTTCTTCTGATTCAGCACCACTTTGGCTGAAATTCGTCGCTGTATGCTTATCCTCGGTATGTTCGTCTTCATCATTGGACAACAATTCATCATCTCCATCTGCATCTGTATGACCCCCACCAAACTCATTTGGATGTAATTCATCATCTGAAATTCGAGTCATGTCATGAAATCCTGTAGACATGAATTCTGCTGGGTCACTAGCCACAGATCTATTTCCGGAAAGCTGACGACTGAGTGCACGATGCCTCATGGCATTTGCTTGCCTAGATTGCCTTCGCATCTCTAATCTTTCCAATATAGAACGATCTTGTTCTTGTGGTGGACTAGCAACGTCTTCTTGACGTTCCATCCAGTTATTGATGACAGTTTGAGTTTGTCGACGATCAAAACTAGGACGATTTCTACCAAGATTATCTCTCGGCGTTAGCCTAAATACTTCATCAAGAGCTCTGTCTTTTTGAAAACCAGCAACGGAAGATTCATGTCTCCTCAAATTAGGACTAAAGAGTCCATGCCTGCGATCCTGGAACGATATTGTTCGCTTCGATCGTTGCCCAGCTTTCTCAACCAAATCCGTAGGTTCAAAGACAGATCTTGCCAAGAAAATCTTTTCGTAGACGCATATACTGAACAATAAAGGGAAATGAGTCAGTTTAATAACAGTACGATTCATCTTGATGAATGTCCTAAAGGGAAAAAAGAATCTGAATGGTGTAAGAACCCAAGCAAGAATGTTCGTAGGTGCTACATAAGAGAAGAGGGCATCATTCTTAACCATAGAAATTGTGTTGACAGCAAAGACGAATTGATGTTCTTCGTTTGCGTTTGAGACGATTGACATGAAGGAGTTTGTTAAAACCGTAATGAGAATGGTAATAACGAGGAAGTGACAAATGAAGAGGAACAGCACAAGTAATGCCTTTCCTAGGAAATTGTAAGTTTCCCATGCTTCCCATGCCGCAGGGGTAAATCCCATCAATATCTGAAAGATCTTGTAGGCAACTCCTGCTGCATCGTATTCGCTTTTCCCAAACGATAGAGTGAATGCAACAAAAAAACCACTACAAGCTATCAAAATTAGTACAAACACCGCCACAAGATCAATTGCCATCAATCTAAATGCGATCAATAGTTGTGAGAAATATCGGTAATGGTCCAGAACACTGAATAATCGAGGGAATAGTAGGATTGCATTAGTTGCAAGAACATCATACGCCATACTATTCCACTCCTCTCTTCCATAGTCCACCAAGAAAATGCCATACAGCCGCATGCAATAGTAAACAGTAAGTAAAACTAGAATACCCAAGTCGAAAGCATTCCAGAAACTCATAATATATAACGAGAACCCTTGTTCATTGAACCCAACTACCTCATCAAGCATGAAACCTGCACTCCAAAACCAAAATATGACTTCGAGACCGGTGATGTCTGTTGATCTTTGACTGAGAACAGCTAGAAAAAGAACGAGAAGGATAGCGAGTGAGCAAGTGGAGAAGAATTGACGATATCTTGGTACCCTCAATCTCGAAAGCTTGAATAGAGATGCATCTCTTGGGTCATATAATGTGACCGTTCTCCTAGTCAAGGTCTGGATCGCTTGTTCGGATTCTGGTTCTTTATTTTGAAGTTTTGGGCGACTGATTGTTGCCCCATATTGAATATGATCACGGGTAAGTAATGGGACCGCAGTGCCATTGCTTGGACTTGGTTTCTTAAGTTCAGTCCGGTTTATTGATGTACGATGGAGATTATCCGCCGCAGAATGGAATACAATTGTTCCAGCCCAAATAGCCTCTAGTTGTTGCACTACGAGTGGGTGTGCCAAAAATCGTTTCGCAGACGCCCTAATAGCTACCTCCAAAGTCGAGATCCTGGCAGCAACTGGTTTTGCACGATTTCTTTGATTCCAGTTTGTTATGGGTGGATTTGGTTCTGCTACTCCTTGTAATGGAAAGAAGTCATAGGAAAGAGCATCGATTAACTCTCTAGTGTTGTATTCCTTCAATAATTTGATAGCTAGAAGCTCGCAAACTAAAGCTCTGGTTAAGCTATTCCCTGCGTTACCTGGATTTGCTTGACTCTCCTTTTTGAATTGTAAACAATTTGCCATCAACGCATATAAAGTAGCTCGATTAAAGTGCGAAATTCGAATTTGTTGTTGCATAGGCTTCACTAAGAACTGTGAGACTTGTGGTGACCGTAATTGATCCCATGTCAATGTGGTTTCCGTCCGCGGGAGTATGATGAGTCGAATGGCATGTGTGAGATTATACACTGGAAGCGCATCTAATCAAATATTAGTATTGGGTTTTTGGAAAGAGATACAGAAATGCTAGATACCAAGATGTGCCGCGGAAAATATAGGCAAGAGAGGCTGATCTTCATCACCATCTTCTTCTTCTACTTCGTCTTCATTACTTCCTTCATCTTCATCCTCCCCATCGTTTTGTTGCGCAATCTCCTCCTCTGTATCTTCTTCTATTTCCGTTTCCGTAAAATCTGCGGATGCATGTCGAGGTAAACGTTCTCTCGTAGCCGCAGCTGGTGAAGATCGGTCAACATTCAGTGTCGAGAAAGGGGAATGTATCTCTTGAGCGCGTCGTCGAGCTTTCACTGGACGCAGTAATGAAGATAACATTTTTGTTTGGATTGTTTTCAGCTCAAAATCCGCGGATGAGCGATTTAATCCTCAATCCTGTGTGATCGGAAATGGAAGGTAGGAAGGAACGCTGGTTGCTGAGAAGGCTGCCTTTCTTGATTTATTTCATCTTGTAGCGACGGGAGTTGAAGAAATGAAGCAACGCAATCCCAAGATTGATCGAGCGAAGGAAGAGTTTCAAAGGGTTGTAGAATATTAGCACATTAGTAGTGTTTGTAAATAAAGAAAGAAATAAGTAAATAAATCTTTAATTTCCAGGTTATCGCGTTTCTCGAGCACTTTTTAATTATTCCTCGTCCCAGCTCCCAGGACCAAGGCTCGGTCGTTCGAAGAGTGGATGGATATTCCTTGATGAAGATCAAGCAACCAATTTATCGAATTAATTAAATTATATATCAAAACAATATAAAGGAAGAGAAAATGAAGATATAAAATCTCTTCCTGTAAAGAGTAAACGTAGAAGATGGCAAACCCAAATCCTGTTTCATTTGCTTATCTCACAACCCTCCCAAAATCACATTGGATATAAAATCGATATTCAACCCATACGGGTCGAGCATTGGGGAAACCTAGAATCAACGATCTCAACTTTTTTTGGGAAGGCAATCAATCATGTCATTGCACACCGAGACACCCTTGATGCTATGCACACTTCTCGTTTATATGCATGCTGCCGATCAAATCCTGGCCATACAATTCCTATCTCATCCAATCAAAGAAGCAAGCACGAGAACATGAATTGAGGGTTTATCTAAAGATAAAGACGGAGGTCGGTACGTACTCAGTGAGTCTCACTTCGTAAATGTAAAACAACGCTTTCGTTCAAATGAGATGTCCTCGTGATAGAATGAAGATAGTTAGGTATATAATCTGAATTTGTTGAGGTAGAACCCTTTGTCTCGTTTCGTTTCTACTCACTCGTCTCTCATATCGCATCTTAATACAACGAGATATCATGATCATGCATTAGGATTCATTTCGAGAAGTTGGTGGCTTGAGAACTTTTAATATGGGGGAAGGTCAGCTTACCTTATTTGCATGGTGCAAAGAAGAAGCTGGCAAAACGAGAGTCTCATTGGATTCTTCGATAGGTAGTCAAGGTAGTCCATCCTTTCGCCATTGACCAAATGTTCTGGCCCAATTTGTCGCTTTCCCAGAACAAGGACGGCATTGGTCCACTTTCTGGAATGATTTTCCTCCCCTCTTGTGCTGTGTGAACTAAGCGTCGATTGTGTCTCAAATCTCAAACCAATTAATTTCCTTTCCGTAGGAAGGAGGAAAATCGTTAGAGGCTACGAGTGAGCTCATCCATCCATATCCATATCCGCATGAGTGATCATGAGGAATCTGGAAAACTGGTACATCATCAGAGACACACCGGCACATACCTATAATATATTGTGCAGCTTCCTCTATTGGACAATGAGCAGGTGGTCAGTGTCAATTGGTGTGGGTGATATAGGACATCGAGGTAATCATATAACGGATTCTTGTGCTACATCGGTTATGAGTGGGGGTGGGAGAGAGAGTGAAAAAATACTCCCGGGGACTTGCTTGAACTCACAAGGCTCACATCATTTGATCAACAAACAGACCGCTATTCTACCCCAAGGTGTATATATATGTGTATACGTGAACTGCAATAATCAATGGCCGTTCTTCCTGTAGGTCTGACTCGCATGCATTTCATGGCGTGGCTCGAGATGTTCTTATTTTCGTGTGTGAGTGTGGTACCAGTATCAGAACACAGAACCGGCGACCTTTAATGCAGACTTTCGGTGTAGGAGAGGGAGGAAAGATGTTGAGCGTCAAACCGCTGCCGTATACTGATTTGTATTCCGATGACACTCTACTATAGTAACCTCATGCCAAATAAATGCTGTGAACTCTGTCTACAATTCATTATTACCAAAGTACTCGATATCTGATACCCACGTGCTTGTCACGTGCTGTCCAGGTGAGTCCTCAGTCCACCTTTATGACATAATAACGTCGGTGTTATTCTGGCAACATACCGGTGAAAAGTTCTTGAGGGGCACGAGGGGTAGATGCAAGGCTGATGATAATTGGTGACAGCCTTGACTTCATATCCCTGCTAGCTCTACGCACTAAACCCAATACCGAATCGGCTCCCCTCGGTTGTTCAGCACCAGAAAAAAAAATTGAGGAGTCCCATTTTCTGGAGAGAAATTCCTAAACTCCCAAAAACTTATTCAACACTTTCAATCTTTTATATCTAAAAAGTCGTACGGTCAGGAATTATTCTTTGATACTTGACCTACAAACTGGCGAACTTGGATCACTAAAGCACTCCTCAATCTGCTTTGCAGCTTGTTGAAGGGCATTTCTTGAAGTCCTTGCGCGCAGATCTCAAAAAAACCTCTTTTCAATATCTTACATCATAATGGCAGAATTAGTTTTCCCTCCAGTTGCCGCCCCAATCCTCAATGGCACAGATGAAGGACTCATCAGTCTGGAATTGAAGGATGGCACAATTTATCAAGGATATAGTTTTGGTGCGCAGAAGAGTGTCGCAGGAGAATTGGTCTTTCAGACAGGTATGGTGGGGTACCCTGAATCAATCACTGACCCTTCATACCGAGGACAAATTTTGGTCATTACGTTCCCTTTGGTGGGTAATTATGGTGTACCATCTCGAGAAACCATGGATGAACTCCTCAAGGATCTGCCAGCACATTTCGAAGCCTCTCAAATCCATATTGCAGGTTTGATTTGCGCTTCGTACGCTGGCGAAGAGTTTTCTCATTTCCTCGCAACCTCCTCTTTGGGAACATGGTTGAAAGAGCAAGGTGTTCCAGCAATCTATGGTGTTGATACCAGAGCTTTAACCAAGAGAATACGAGAAGAAGGTAGTATGCTTGGACGAATGTTGTTGCAAAAGAATATCCCTGCCAATGGAAACGACAACATCTCTGCTTTATCTACAAAGGATTGGAGATCATCATTTGAAGCAATCGACTGGGTGGATCCCAATGCCAAGAACCTTGTCGCAGATGGTAAGTTTCTACTTTGCTATAGCCCGAATGAAGGGCTAACATAATGCCTTAGTATCAATTCGCGAGCCAAAATTATACAAACCTGATCCTTCGAATGCTTTGAAACATCCTTCTGGTAGACCTATACGTGTGTTGTGTTTGGATGTTGGTTTGAAATATAACCAATTGCGTTGTCTTGTAAAGCGTGGTGTGGAAGTTCTCATTTGCCCATGGGATTATGATTTCCCTGCTCTCGCCGGCAAGGATTATGATGGTTTATTCATCTCCAACGGTCCTGGTGATCCAGCCATGATGGACAAAACTGTCAAGCACATTCAATCTGCCTTGAAGGAGAACCGAACCCCAATTTTCGGTATCTGTCTTGGACATCAACTTCTCGCCAGAGCTGCCGGAGCTCAAACCGAAAAGATGAAGTTCGGTAACCGTGGACACAACATTCCCTGTACAAACATGTTGACTGGAAAATGTCATATTACATCCCAAAATCACGGTTTCGCTGTCCAAACTAGTTCCTTGCCTTCGGAATGGGAGGAACTTTTCGTCAATGCCAACGATGGAAGTAACGAGGGTATCAGACATGTCAACAGACCATACTTCAGTGTTCAATTCCATCCAGAAAGTACTCCTGGACCAAGGGATACTGAATTCCTCTTTGATGTCTTTATCAACACTATCCAAAAGACTCTCGACGATGAGAAACTTCTCTCCGCACCAGTTGTCTTCCCTGGTGGTGAGAAGGCTGAGAATGAGAAGCTTACACCTAAGGTCAACGTCAAGAAAGTCCTTGTCTTGGGTAGTGGTGGTCTCAGTATTGGTCAAGCAGGTGAATTCGATTACTCTGGAAGTCAGGCTATTAAGGCCCTTAAGGAGGAAGGAATCTATACCATCTTGATCAACCCTAACATCGCTACGATTCAAACTTCCAAGGGACTGGCTGATAAGGTTTATTTCCTTCCTGTCACAGCTGATTTTGTTCGCAAAGTCATCAAACATGAGAAGCCTGATGCAATTTACGTCACATTTGGTGGTCAAACTGCTTTGTCTGTCGGTATTCAACTCAAGGATGAATTCGAAGAACTTGGAGTTCGCGTGCTCGGTACCCCAATCTCCACTGTCATCACTACTGAAGATCGTGAGTTATTCGCTCGAAGCATGGAGTCGATTGGTGAGAAATGCGCCAAATCCGCTTCAGCGAACAACATCGACGAAGCTATGCATGTTGTGAAAGATATTGGCTTCCCAGTCATCGTTCGTGCCGCGTATGCTTTAGGAGGTCTTGGAAGTGGTTTTGCAGACAACGAGCAAGAATTACTTGAACTTTGCAACAAAGCATTCGCCGCTAGTCCTCAAGTTTTGATCGAGCGAAGTATGAAGGGATGGAAGGAAATTGAATACGAGGTTGTCCGTGATTGTCGTGACAACTGTATCACAGTTTGTAACATGGAGAACTTCGATCCTTTGGGTATTCACACTGGAGACTCAATTGTTGTTGCTCCTTCCCAAACATTATCCGATGAGGATTACAACATGTTGAGAACCACAGCTGTTAACGTTATTCGCCATCTCGGAGTTGTTGGAGAATGTAACATTCAATACGCACTCAACCCTGACTCTAAGGAATACTGCATCATTGAGGTCAACGCTAGATTGTCCAGATCTTCAGCCCTCGCATCCAAGGCTACTGGATATCCGTTGGCTTTCATCGCCGCAAAGCTCGGTCTTAACATCCCCCTCAACGAAATCAAGAACTCAGTCACTCAACAGACCTGTGCTTGTTTCGAACCTTCTTTGGATTATGTGGTTGTCAAGATGCCACGTTGGGATTTGAAGAAATTCACCCGTGTTTCCACACAACTTGGTTCATCGATGAAGAGTGTCGGTGAAGTCATGAGTATTGGAAGAACTTTTGAAGAAGCTATTCAAAAAGCCATTCGTGCTATCGATTTCCATAACTTGGGTTTC